CGCGACCGGGACGAAAACCACACTACTCCTCCTGGATCCGAGATTCGACCATCGGTCGTCACCTCCTCTCCAGTACCCTGGAGTAGACCTTACCGGGGAGGCTGAGGAGTGTGATCCCACGATAATTGGAACACACCCTCCGGTCCCCCTTCTTGTAGAGAGGGACCACCACCCCGGTCTGCCACTCCATTGGCACTGCCCCCGATCGCCACGCGACGTTGCAGAGACGTGTCAGCCAAGACAGTCCTACAACATCCAGAGACTTTAGATAATCAGGGCGGATCTCATCCACACCCGGAGCCTTGCCACCATGGAGGCTACCAACCACCTTGGTGACCTCAGCCAGGGAGATGGATGTATCCGCCCCAACATCCTCAGCCTCTGCCTCTGTAACAGAGGACGTGACGGGGGGATTGAGGAGAACCTCAAAGTATTCCTTCCACCGCCCGACAATATCCCCAGTCGAGGTCAGCAGCTCTCCACCCGCACCGTACATGGTGTTGGCAAAGAACTGCTTCCCCCTCCTGAGGCGCCGGATGGTTTGCCAGAATCTCTTCGAGGCCGACCGATAGTCATGCTCCATGGACTCTCCGAACTCCTCCCAGTCCCGGGTTTTTGCCTCTGCAACAGCCCGGGCCGCGGCACGCTTGGCCTGCCGGTACTGGACAGCTGCCTCAGGAGTCCCCCGAACCATCATGGCTCGATAGGACTCCTTCTTCAGCCTGACAGCATCCCTTACTGCCGGTGTCCACCACCGGGTTCGGGGGTTGCCGCCGGGACCAGCACCAGAGACCTTGCGACCACAGCTACGAGCCGCCGCAACGGCGATTGAGGCAGAGAACATGATCCACTCGGACTCCATGTCCCCCTCCTCCGCCGGGACCTGGGAGAAACTCTCCCGGAGGTGCGAGTTGAAAGTCCGTCTGACAGGGGGCTCAGCGAGACGTTCCCAGCAGACCCTCACTATACGCTTGGGTCTGCCAGGTCTGACCGGCTTCTTCCACTGCCAGCGGATCCAACTCACGACCAGGTGATGATCGGTTGACAGCTCCGCCCCTCTCTTTACCCGAGTGTCCGAGACACGCGGTCGAAGGTCAGATGATACGACAACAAAGTCGATCATCGACCTCCGGCCTAGGGTGTCCTGGTGCCACGTGCACTGGTGGACACCCTTGTGCTCGAACATGGTGTTCGTGATGGACAAACTGTGACTGGCACAGAAGTCCAACAACTGAACACCGCTCGGGTTCAGATCAGGGGGGCCGTTCTTTCCGATCACCCCTCTCCAAGTGTCACTGGCGACTCCCCACATGGGCGTTGAAGTCCCCCAGGAGAATAACGGAGTCCCCGGGCGGTGCACCGTCCAGTACCCCTCCCAAGGACTCCAAGAAGGCCGGGTACTCTGCACTGCTGTTAGGCCCGTAGGCCGTCACAACAATGAGAGACTTGTCCCCCACCCGGAGGCGGAGGGACGCGACCCTCTCATTCACCGGGGAGAACTCCAACACATGGCGGCTGAGATGGGGGGCAATGAGAATGGCCACCCCAGCTCGCCGCCTCTCCCCGCGGGAAACTCCAGAAAAGTGGAGCGTCCAACCCCTCTCAAGGAGTTGGGTTCCAGAGCCCAAGCTGTGTGTGGAGGTGAGGCCGACTATCTCTAGTCGGTATCGCTCAACCTCCCCCACGAGCTCGGGCTCCTTCCCCCCCAGTGAGGTGACGTTCCACGTCCCAAGAGCCAGATGTTGTGTGTGCGGACTGGGTCGCCGAGGTCTCCGCCTTCGACTGCCGCCCAGTCCTCTCAGCACCGCGCCACCACGGACCCCTCTGCAGGTGGTGGGCCCACAGGAGGGACTGCCCACGTCATATGATGACGATATTACTCATAAATATTTGTGTAACAAGCCATTTATGGGGAAAAATGGGCTGAATGTTTGGATAAGGGCTTTCAGAAACTATTTTGATAATAATTCATTGTTTGTATCACACAAGCCAGTGACTGTAGCGCTTTCCATACATTTGAAAGAGATGCCACTCAACATATTCATCAAGAAAAGTTATAATAAAATAAATGTTGACCTTTTCTCACATTTCTATTTAATTCTGCTGTAATTACATTTTACGAGTCATAAAACCTGTCCCAACATGTTGTATTCTGTGTAAATTCAAAAAATGATTACTGAATTACTTGATAAGCATTTAAAATTATGGATTAGTTGCAATTAATTGATTAATTTGTCACCAATCTCACTTTGAGACAGTTGTTTTGGTAGTTATTGAGCCTGGTTGATAATTATCAGAAATTCCACAATACTCTCATCATATAAGTTAACTCTCATACAAGTCTATGTCTGGTCAGCATAGGCGTGGTAATCAAAATGTCCATAAAAGGCTTCCGCTGGTGCCATCAGGTAAGAAAAATACAGAACGCCAGTTGTGAATTTGCATCCAATGCCTCCACACTGTGATGCCGAACACAAGCTCTGCTGAAGTTAGGGGGCGGACACTGACACAGTAAAAGCAAACAGGAAGTGTGAGCCATTGTCAAGTTTTATGAATGAGAAAGAATTCCCCATGAGGATTACAATCGACCAAAACAGCTGGATGTGATCATTTTTATAATAGTTACTCAAGACAAAACAAAATGCTTGAATATTCACTATTTTTTTCCTGAAAAGTAGGAAGTGATCACTGAAGCGATCACTGAAGCATTTATGAGTAACAAAGTTTTTCACAATTTCCAGAATTTCTCATTTTGTTATAACTGCAAATTATTCACAACAAAAGTGCCGTAATGCATGATTCATTGAATAGTAATGGATCTATACTGAATATCGCTCAACAAAGGCACATAGCTCAGAATAAACAAAAGCATGGCCTGACTCGACCAACTAAGCATCCTTTGCTGTAACCTCTTATCACACTATAAATAAATATAAATAAATACATTTTGAAAATCTGTCTCATCAGTAAAGTCAAGAACAAGATTATTATGTTGAAGCACTTCCACATGAAGCACACACTTAGCGACAGTCACCATAGTCAAAATAAACAAGACGTGACCACACACACATGACCGAAGCCACTATCATCAGCATCCTGCAGCCGTGAGTCAGTTCCTGGGGTTGCCGGCACTCGTAACAATGCTAACTTGAGTAGCACGTGGAAGGAAGCGCTCACCTGCATTTTCCCACACATAAAAAGTCATTATAGAGTTGTCTGCCACCAACAGGAAGCAGTCGGGGCCAACTACAACTTCTGATGAACCAAGGCAGGTTACAACAGGCTCCTCCACGCTCCTCCACTTCAGATAGAGCAGACACAACACAAAAGCCACCAAGCAGGAAGTAGGGAGAACGTTAACAACAATGGGTTTGAAGTCAGATGAAGAGGTAAAAATCACAAAAATATGGATGACAGTCGCTTCAGAAAATAACTAATCATTTCTGTCATATACAAACACGCCACTGCAGAAATTCCCAAATCAAATTCTAACCAAAAAATTGAACTTTGAAGTCAAACTATAAATAGAAGTACAGACTTGAGAAAATAAATCAAATTGGGACAAAGAATTTCATTAGAGTCATCCAATGCATCATGCTATGTATGATGAAATGACGAGGCTAAGTCTCATGACCAACCAAACAGCCTCTTGTTCAATATTATAATGGAAACTCGAACATGTTTCCTTACAGTTGAATTATATCACATCAAATTGTATATCTCTTGTGTTTCCTGCTTTGGTGGCACAAGCAATTTAGCATTTAGAATTTACATTGTTTTAAGACAACTTAAAGAGAAAGATGACATTAGTAATTGACAGAAGTTATACTCAATAAATAAAACACCTTATATTTGTATGCAATGGAAACATACTGAAGCCACAATTCATAACAATATAGTGGTTAAGCAAATATATGAGTAAATTTCTTTCAGAGCAAAAATGTGAGGCAAGCCGTTTCCATTGGTGAATTTTGTTTTGAGACAGTGACAGTCTTGAATGACGGGCTTGTTTACCATTTTTCAAGATGAACTTGTCTAGAGAGCTGCACATTCTTGCTCCACATCCTTCTACCCAATTACATTCAAGGACACACTTCACGTAAATACTGTTTAGTGGTGTTTAAAGCCATCCTAAACTCGCCAATAAGCGAATTCATAACAATAATTTGCCAAGAGTATTGTAAAGAATGAACAGCATAGCATAGACACTATAATAACAAATAGATAAAACAGTTATAATGTCTATGCAAAGCTTGGAGTGGTATAGTAACTCACATTATCGTATGGAAGATATGTGATTACAAGTAACAAGAAGTAGGGGTGGGCAAAATATATCGTAGACAATAATATTGTGAAAGTCAATTTGAAGATATGCTTTTTTGTATTATCGTTCTTTTTCTTTTTACATACATATTACAATTAGAGAAGGACAGATGCCCATTTGGTCTAATGTGTGCCTAAAAAGCCAATCACTGCTTTATTTGTACATTTAATAAATATTGAGCCTTTTTGGATGTGTTTTTTCTGTGTTACTTGAATTTGATTTTAATGTTTATACATGTTAACACATGTTTGTGTATGTTTTGAAAAGAAGTGTGAAGCTTCTATTTAGATCTACACTGTCTATATCTACTGTATAGATGCCCTGGCAGCAAAACATTACAGATCATTTTGTGTAAAAATTATTGATTTTAAAGATATCGTGACAATATCGTTATCGGGAGTTAGAAAAAAAAACGATATATTTAAGAAGTACATGTTGCCTACACTGCCTTGCATTTGTCTATGGTTTCATGCTAAGGTAAACTAGCATGTGCACATTCAAAAAACTTGTTGTTTGAATGTGAAATGATGTATATTTTATAACTATACCACAGCAAATACGATCAAAACACTACTGGAAACATGACATTTCACAGACACATCTCAAAGCGGTAGTCTGACCCCGAATGGCTGCAATGCTAGCAACTTTAGCCTGTGCTAGCAAGCAGCAAACTTACCAAAAGACAATCCGTATTGATTTCCGACTTCGGGTCCTTCAACATGGCATCGATTTTCTCAAAACGAGCCTCCATGGGTTCCATTTTGACAGCTGAAATCAGTCCAGTCGCTCAATTCTTTACAAAAAAACAGCTTTCGGCGAGGCTAGCTTAACTTTAGCAGCCTGCGGAAGCTAACCCAATGTTCCGTCTGCCTCCCAACTTTGCGATTCAAAGAAAACACATTGTTCTCCGGGTGCTTTCGCCAACAATAAAACGTTTAAGATCGCGCTGGATGTACAAAAGCCACATGATCGGTGTCAGAAGATATGTGTCCAAGTGTTGATTGGGAACTTCAGTGGCAATAGATAAACGCGGCGGCAGATTAGTCCGCAGGATGCCAGAGGATAAGGGCTTAAAACATAGCAGCATCCAGAACAAAAGACAATTAAAACATCCAAGAAATGTCCACTTGATCAGCAGGGTGACAAGAAATATACAATCCAGGCCAGTTTCCAGGTATGTCCCAAGTTTTTGTGAAGTAGCTCGAGCGACTGTGACAGCTCAAAAGTAGAAGTGGCTGGAAAAAACTTCTGCTTCTCACAAATGTGTCTGAACGCGGTTTCGCTATAGCGTCAAAGTGAGATCCGTGCGCCGCGACCCGTCCATTGTCATCGCGTTACGAGCGTCTTCTCCTTCAATATGCGGATCTGCTTGGCCCCAAAAGTGCACACAAAGAGCCCGGGGAGGATCGGTGTCCGAGAGAGACGCGAGCAGGCGATGAACGATTTTCTTTCCCCGCAGCAGCTCAAACATGTCTGCCTTCCTGTTCAAACCCCACTCGAAAATGTCAAGCAGTGCGCATGCGCGGCTCCCCGGGCACATTCAAAAGTGTTTACGGACAGACAACATGTTGCTTTTTTCCATATCGATTGATAGCAATTAAACGTGCTATTTAGGGCTGTTAGTCGTTGGTTGTTTAAGTCGATCGATGACATCCTCGTCAACTAAAGAATGAGATATTTGATTTTGGATTTCCCCGAGAAAATCACAAACATGAGAATAAATGGAGCTCATTAGTAGAATATTTGGTATTTATTTCATTTTTAAGAAAGAAAGAAACTTTATTTCTATTAAAACATTTTTCCACTGGCTGTATATGCAAAGCAATAAAATGGTTCAGACACATAAAACTGCAATAGTTAGGAGATGTCTTGTCACACCCTCTTTATCTATTGATAATAAAACAACCCTAATGCTCATCGTCTGAGGAATATGAATGCTAAACACTCCCATTGGTGTTTACATTTGAGTAATTGTTTGATGACAGATGAACTTGGCACAAGGATGTACCAGACTTTAGGAATTCCTGGTATGACTGTTTTATTTTGATCAGAAATGGCAAACATAGCTTCTTACTCTTGATAATAATAAAGATAGGAATAAAAATAATAGTAATAATAATGCCTTGCACTTGTAGAAGTCTCTCTAAGCGCTGCAATGAACTCTTCACACACTTCATGCTTGATGGTGTCAGATGTGAGGCAGCCAGTCTGTGCCATCGGCCCCTCCTACCACCACCATCACTCACTCCACACATACTGTTGCATGTTTTGGGCGGTGGAGAAAACCGGAGCGGCCGGAGGAAACCATCCAGCCAGACATGGGATCAAACCCATGGCCGTCTATTTACTCAAGAAAAAGCACAGATACTAGAATAAAATTGAATGTCCGCCGAAAGTTTGATTCTGTAGAGGGAGCAGACAGGCAGCACAAAAGTAAAAAAGTAAAATGCATTATGGTAGAATAATTGACAGACAATACATTTATTTGAGACACTTAAAGCCTTGCCTGACTCACATACCATTCTGTCATATATACCAGCAGAGAGAATGACGATAAACACTTAGAGGCATGGCTGAGCTTTGCTTATTTGTGTGGAGAAAAAAAAAATTGTCCCAGTATTTCTGACACTGACCAACAGACAAGTATATTTGTTATTTGACAAAAAAAAGAGTTGACCTCTCATATAAGTATGGATGTGAGCCATTATGGTATGATCTGCGCCTAATACTGTACACATACTTTGGAGGGCAGGCACCAATACATTTTTCATTATTCGCTAATTATTTGATGAACAAACTCACCGTATTATTTTTATGTCTTAACGTTCTTTCTACTGTTTACTCTATATGATAGTTGACTGGTGACAGTTAACAAAAATAGTAAAAGGTAGGAAGAACTGGGACATTTCTGCAAGAAACACAGGTGTGGTTTCCAAATACACTGGTGCCCTGTATATGTTATATATAAATGTACATTCCCCATCCTGAAACAACCATATCACCTGAAACAGACTGTACCAAACACACATTAGAAACTCAGTGACCATGAAAAGTCAACATGTTTTTGTTTTGATGGTGAAAAAGGAATTTTTTCAAAAGTAAACACGCTGTGCAAGTGTGGAGCTTTAGCGCTCTCTACTGGACATATGCAGAAGAGCAAGAGATTTTTTTCAACCGGTTCAAAGTAAAAAAAAAAAAGAAAAATACATTGAATAGTAATTGAAACGGAAAATAACAACCTTAGCACAATTTGAAATGATGTATGTTTATGTCATGTTGTATATGAAACCTAATCCTTGCTGTTTTATCTTGTCTATATTTTTTAATTTTATGATATATTTTTCATGAGTTTGCAGGGTTAATGACTCGCATTTTTGAACATAAGCCTCCAGACAACGTGCAGTAAGAAATGTGTGTAATTTACTTGATCAAATGAACCATGCAAAATGGTTGACAATTTCTATCTTTCGTCACTGCAACAAACATGTTCAAACAATAAGGAGGTTTTGGCATGCATTTTCTTCTGTCTGAATAGAGTTGAATAGAATATTTTTTAGGTTTGATGAGGGAAAAATTGTGTGTGAAGGCTATATATTGTAATACATGTTTTAAGTCTTTATTGTCTGTACAGACTTTGCAGTTCTCAGGAGCAGTTACACAGAAGAACCTCAGGTGTCAGATCAATCCTGGATCATTCAGCAGATTTTAAGCCCATTTAAAAGGTTAATAATAATAATAAGGCTTCAATTTTATAGTTTAGGTTGCCTGGGTACACGATAACAGGCAGTTCTAGGTCCAGTATGGCATCACTGCAAATGTGTGTGTTTGTGTGGACCATAAAGGCCTATCTCTTCACTTGCGAGAGCCACATGTGCCTTCTCTTTCTTTGCTCCTTTTGTTCTTCTGTGTGTTTGTCGGTCACTGTGGTCTAAACGCGTTGGCATCCATTTAAAGGATAAAATATCTTTTATATTACCGGTATGCCACGTTTTGTACTTCCAGATCACCTCCTTCTCTTCATCTATCATCATTTCAGTTTTATTAGAATTTAGTTGTAGGAAGTGTCCTCTGATTCATTTGCTGATATTGTCAGTACATAGACATTTTGAACTAAAAATAATCAACAGGGATTGGCTCGTATAATTGGTATCATCAGCATAATTATGGCTTTGTAAATTGGACATTTGACATCCACAGCTCATTTGTTCTTGAGGCAATTCTGATCTTTGTGAACAAGTGAAGAACAGAAAGCCAATGTTGAAAACCGTTGGCCTCAGGGTTTTTGATGCCCTAACAATTGAACACATTTTCTTCTGCTGGCCATTTGAAGAACTGCAATGATTGATGGGGGACGCGAGGCGTATGAGATTTTTCAGTTTAATTGAAATGTCTGTTAAGGTTTTTGGAAGCTAACATCAGGCTCTTAAGATCAGGTTTGGAGTTTGTGCACCTCCAGCCTGCAAAAAAATTATGGCATTGTACAAGTAAGAATAGATGTGCAAAGCTTGTAGAGTCATGCCCTAAAAGAGTGGCTGCTGTGATTGCAGCAAAAGGGGGTTCCTCAATGTATTAACCATTGAGGTGCCAGATTTGTTGAGAAACGTGAAACAGACAAAGGGTGGAGCCCTGAAGGAGGATTACTAAAATCAATAACAAAAGTAAATAAAAGAAAAAATATGTATGAAAATATTAATGTCAGGCTTGTATAGTGATATTTTTTGAACTTAAGACGTTTTGCCACAGTTTTTTTGTTTAACAACAAAATCATGTATAATTTTGCTTTGCGAAAGTGTTAATACGGCTTGAACCTTTGCGCATGTTACAACCACAAAAAAACAACGATTAAAAAATAATGTATTATTTTTATTTATTACGCGCTTGCGTGTTCATATGTATGTGTGTGTGCGTGTGCGCGCCCATATGCGCGTGTGTGTGAGCGGTGTGAAGCACCACGCCCACCCTCACATCACGAGTGTATCCGCGTGCGCCCCCCGCTCTCCTCAACCAATCAGGAGCCCCGCTGTGAGGAGGCAGCACGAGCGCTCTGTGACAGCTCGCGACTGCACCAAAGACCAGAGGAATACAGGAGCTCTCACTCTGTCTGCTCTGAGCTCATGTCATTCAAATCTGACCTGCCAGAACAAGACGATTTAACAATAATAAATACTTCTTCAGAATGCTTTTTTGAAACAACTTGTTAATATACTGTGTTTGGGGAAAAACTACAGTATTTAGACTGTATTACAGACTGTTCTGCTCTCATGAGCAAGTGGACGATGCATGCTGAATATGGCCAAACAAGTTCTAACTTCACTCCTGCTTGGAAATCAGGCTGGGTGATTTTCAGAGAGTATTATGTGGTCAAAAGAAAAAGAAAAACATGATCTGATGAAGGCATAAAGCCAAAACGTCATGACAAAATAAAAAAGATTGGACATCAGAGCTGAGTGTGCAATGGTACTCTGTTTTCTGAATTTTCAGAGATCAATACAGCTAAAGAAGCCTTTAATTTGGTTCTGGTCAAAACAAACAAACGTCTCCTTCACAGACTCAAAGAATGATTGAATCAGAACTGTGGTCTCCCTCATCTTTACTAATATCATCAATTGACACCTCAATTTACTCCAGATGTTTATGTATGTCTATACATAATATTTTATAATTGACTTAATCACTTATTATAATCATGTGAGTTGACAATAACTGATCCATAGTATAGCATAGTCTTTAGTATATATATTATAGTATATAGTCTACAGTCAAGAGCAGCATGTGGCTGAGTAGTTAGCACGCTTGGTTCTCAGCATTTCTTGGGTTTGAATCCAGTCGGAAAAGAATCTTCTTGAGAGGAATGTCTGCCTGGGTTTCCTCCAGTTGCTCCGGTTTTGCCTACCTCTAACAACATGCACAACATGTAAAATTCCCCAGTTCCGGCAGTCCTGATTGAGCCAAGCATCCACATCATAGAAAAGAGTCAGCTGGCGACCACTGATCCTGAATTTTGCTTTGGTGACATTGTAGGATGCTCCAAATGCAGAGGATACTTTCCCAAAGGAGACAATAAAGTATACCTTAACCCAGTGCTCCCCAACCTTTTTGAGCCGTGGCACACTTTTCCCATTGAAAACAATCAACAAGGGCAGACAAAAGTCTTTCTAATACTCTCTTTCTCTTACTTTTCATGGTATTTTAACCAAATAGGTGATATTGTATCATTTACAAAGGCACACCAAACATTCGCTCAAGGCACACTAACGTACCACAACACACTGAAAAACACTGCCTTAACCTCGTGTGTCTCTGGAGTCGGCTCGCTGTAATGGCTCTTTTGACCTTGATATGGATTATTTATGACTGGAGCATTCAGATACCTCTGACTCCTACTCATGCAGAAGGCCACGGAGCCTCCAGCACCTGTATGTGACATCAATAGACCCTTGATTGTTTTTGACAAAAATCACACTAAAACATGAAGAAACCAAAATACGGACAAACTATAGAACAGTACCATAGAAAATATAGTCCAGAAGTTTGTTCTTTACTTCCATTGGATGCTTTAGGTGCATGCTCTGTTCCAACAGCTCCAGTGGGACCATACCCCTGTGCAATAACTTAAGTGTTATTACTACAAAGAAAGTAATAAAGAATGAGCACAGATAACAATCTTGTTCCACTGATTTTTGTTTTGTTTTGTTTGTTTATTTCAAGCACACAATGAAAAAGTGTTTCTATGTAAAAACAACAACAGTGCTCGTAATAACACTGATAGTAAAACAAAACAAATTCTCTGCTTCTTGAAAAGGAGTGGGATGAAGATGAACACTTATTGATTCCCACCCTCAGCTAAATGTTTTATTCAGCTGTATTGAAATCTGCCAGCTTATCTTTTTTATGTTAGACACCATGTACAACCTTGTAACCGGCAAAACACATACAACTTTATAAATTGTGTTGTATCTTCTAGGTTTCAATTTTCATTTGGCTGAAGAGGTCGCAAAATGTCTCTTTTGATAATAAAGGTTGAAGATCCCTGGTATAGCAGTTTCGACTAAAGTGGCAAATGAGAATATGGATAGTACAATGGATTAAGTCATTTTTATCTTGATTTTAGAACATTTTCACAATGGAACAACCAGCTTTAGTCTTTTTTCCAGCACAGATATAGCAAATGTATTACGTGTTCTATTGGATGAATCGCACATACTGTATCCATGTATTCTATTTATGTAACCAGGGACTGCAGATGGAAACTAGCTGTTTAGCTATAATCTGGTGTAAAACATGTCTGTCTTTGATCTTAACAGCTCTGTTCATTGTCCCTTCAAATAAAGACTAAATAAATAACATATTGCCATTTTTGGGAAATTTCAAACTTCTTTTTTTTGCCATTATGCAACAACAAATTTACACATTTTGTTTTTAAGTTGCCCCTATTTGGCTAAATTCATTCAAGAAAATGTTGACGGTTTTCAAAGAAGATTTTCCAATAGAACATGTAATACATTTGCTATATACGTGCTGGTAATAAGTCTAAAGCTGGTTGTTCCATTGTTTTAGGAATGTCAAAATGTTTTCAAATCAGCACAACATTTTGTCAACTTTCTAAAAGGAGTTGGAGAGGAGTAGCTCTCCAAGGGGAAAGGTTGGAGACCCCTATATTAGATTATGGACTTGTCCGTGGTGGAGTGACCCGTCTTCTCTAGAGTAGATCTGTGCGCGGCTCTCGAAAGGGAAAGGAAACACTTCTCCATTTCCTAAATCCCCTCCCGCTCTGCCTTTAGCTCTTACCACCGTGTGTTTGCTCGACCTAAAGGCTTCGACACGCTCTTCTCCTCTCAACTCCACCATCTCCCGGGTCATCTTCGGACTCCCCCTTCCCTTTTAAACCCCATTCTATCGCCGCTACTTCCATCTCCTCCTCGGCAGACCGCAGGCGCCAGACTTAGCCAGCCCAAAGTTGACAGGCGAAGCTAACCCCGAACTACTAGCCAGGAATCTCAGCCAGTTCACCGGGGCGTCATCTGGTCTGCACTCCCCGGACTGCCCGTGGATATCTCCCCGTGAAGTCGACGTGTGTCTGCCGTGGGTTTGATCGCTGGTAAGCCTGGTTGTTCCCTCCTAAGCGTGCTCGATTTAGCCTGCTAGCTAGCTAATACCCTGCGTATTTAGCCTTGAAGCCAACACAGGGCCTCAGTCCAGCCCCAAAAGCATCTGCCACTGAAACTATTTGCATCGCCGCGCAGGGATAGTGGACAGGTGAGTGGCGATTACGTGTGATTTCTGTTTTTACTCGCGCCCACGACACGTTTGCGGGTCTTGTTGACAATGTTGTGCGTGTTAGCTTCAGTGCTAATCACATTTTAGCTCGGTTCGAAGCGATGGGGGTTGGGGAATCCGCGGAATCACGCCGGAGGTCGCCATCTTTCATTGGATGTTGCTCTCTGCTAGACACGGCTGTAACTCCCTTTCTATCCAGACTTTAGCTTTACTCGTTCTGTTTGTTTACGTGCTGCTAAACGACCATTTGTTTTCGCTTTTAGTCTATTTTTTTAACCCACAGGAGATCGTAGTTGTTATTGAAGCTAATGGGCTCTGCGCAGTGTTGTTGTTGCCTTAAAACCTCCTGCGTTACTACTTCCGAGGACCAAGTATTTGCTTATTATGTTGACACTAGTATTCCCAGAGCAGTCAATCTGACGGTTTTTACTTTTGGACGTGCAATTCCTCATCTCATGTGCGTTCTTGGTCTTCATAACTTTATGACTTGTCCTGTATCTTTTACGTATGTCATTATTATTTTTTTATTCTGAAATTATCTTTTACTTTCGATATGTGAGTGGTTTTACCTTTGAACACATTTGTCATCAGAGAATATCAAATGTTAGTTACCATAGCAACACATTTTTTTGCTGTCAGAAGTTAGTATTAGACTTTTTTTGCTGTGTTTCAGTTTCAGTTATAATGACCAGTTTTAGCACTTTTAACAAAAAAAACAAATTATTTTCTATTCACGGATCTGGTGAAAAACTATACATACTTTGGGCGAATTTTGGAAGTCCTCAAAATTCAGTAACTCAGTAATTTGACGGCTGGATGTATAATTACTCGGCTCATGTGCATTTTTGGTCTTCATAACTTTGTCTTTTTCTTTGTCTAATATGTAGTTTTTTTCCAATGTACTTATTTTTAGGAAATTCTCATCCTAGACTGGTTTGAGACTGGTTCAAAGCCATCTCAGCTTGGAGCAAATGCTGGTTACCATGACTACACTCTGTTTACCTGCAGCACTTAGTATTTGATTTGGCTGTATTTCATTTTTATTCACCAGTTTTAGCATGAATTGAAAACCGTTTGGAGAACTCAAATGTTTTCAGAATGTCATGGGAGCCATCAAAATGACTGCTCTGGGACTTTTAGTAGTAGCAGAATTTTGGGAGTCCTGGTGTTAATGAGTCCTGGGAGTCACTATTGGACGCTTGTTAGGTACCCCAGGTCCAGCATTGCCTTCTGTGTTCAAGTAGGGCTGTAATTAAAGATTTTTTGATTATTGATTAGTTTGCTAGTTCTTTTGACTAATCTGTTGGTTGTTTAGTGCATTATCCCATATCACACGACATGGGACTGTTTACTAAATCAAAATGTCATTTTTTTTTTTTTTCCATTCATTTATTTTCAACCCCTTTATTAGTCCATCTCTGGGTCGGTGGGTGGCAATGAGAGCTGCCACCCAATGCAGCTCTCATTTCCATTAATCTATTTACTTATTACAGTACTTGTAGTTATGTCTAATATTATACATACACAGCAAGAAGGTCCTGGGTTCGATTCCACCCCCAGGCAGGGCTTTTCTTATGGAGTTTGCATGTTCTCCCTGTGTCTGCGTAGATTTCCCTCTGGCGTTCCGGTATTCCCTACCACTAAAACATTTACAAAAGCTCATCCCTTACAGTGTCTGAGACTATCCCAAAAAAGTTATTCTGAAACCTAAGTGGGACTTATCCTAATAAAAGGTACATAGGAGGATTTTTTTACTTCCGGGATCATCAAGACTATTGGTCCTCCCAATTGTCAATCATTCTGGTGATACATGCTCGTCAAATAAGACTTCAAATAAAGATTAATAATTAATAAAGAGTCCAGGGAACTCACCAGCGCTAATTGTTTTTTCCTCCAATGCTGTGTGAGTGAGAACACACCCTGCTCTTTCAGCCAGACTAGGGGGATCAGGCACTGGACACGAGTGTAAGCCTTTGTTGTTCTGGTCAGAGTGGAGACTGGGTGTGTGTGGGAGGTGTGTCCCTGTGCTCATGGCCTGAGCCTGGATGTGTCACAGGCTTATTTCACCTGCACTGCCTCTGGTGAGCGGCTCCAGGCCTGGGTACGTATCTGAGGCCAGCTGTGCTAGTGCTTCTCTAATGGTGGCTCCTGCAATCTATGTGTAAGATTGTCGCCCCTTGTCGTCAATAGTTAGTGAATTGTATTATGTGCCCTTTTTCTTTTGTTAAGTTGATTTATGTAATGATTTATTTTGTAAAATACCCTACTTATTTTCTGTATATTATTATTTTGATACTGGTGCTATGAGCATTGGGTGGCAGCTCTCATAGTCACCCCCCCTGACCCAGAACTGGATTGATAAAGGTGTAAAAAAAGAATGCATTATTTTTTACAATCAATTTAATCTAACAATTATTGATTACCATGCCAATTTAAGCACTACATGCAGTTTATACATATTGATTTACATTTCTGAAGGGAAAAAGACTAAAATTACAACAATGTAAAAGTCTGTTTTGTTCTATCACTGTTTCGACTTACATGTTTTTGCCTCTCATAAGTGACTGCAGTGTTAATGCTTTTGGGTTAAAGTAGGGCTGGGCGATAAAACGATAACGATATATATCGCGATAGACATGTGTTCGATATCAATAGAGAATGGGGTCGATAGAATGTTCGATAGTTTAACTTAACTCCGTCAGGAAAAACAGGAAGAAAACACCGGAAGTAAAGCCGACTCATAAGCGCATGGCATTGTGGGGGATGTAGGCGGAGGCTTCTCGACCAATAACAGCCGAGCAGGAACCGCAAAACTTTGTGGGAAATGCAAAAACAACAACAACCGCAGCATGCGTGGCGTCCATGGATCTATAGCTCGTGTTTCAATGCCGTGTCAATGGTTATGCACGTACGTGAGCGGAATAACATGTGCGGCGGCAGAGGCAGTAGACAGACACGATGTATTCGGCGAAAGTAAGAGATTAACTTTTTCCTCGGGAAGCATGTGCGGCACAGAGAGCCACACGGAGCGGCCACGGGGACACAAGACCCTCAAACAGCTAAACCAGGAGCTAAACCAGGAATAAAAAACCAGGATTAAACCAGGACTAACAACGAGGGACACAGTGTGAACATATTTCTCCAGCCTCATCGCCCCGCGACTGTAAACAAGGCTGCTAAGGTTGGTTAGCCCACACCACAAATATATTTATTTATGTAAAAAAAACTCTATATATATCGTTATCGACCGATATGAATGACTTATATCGTGATATAGTTTTCAGCCATATCGCCCAGCCCTAGGTTAAAGTTAATGTTACGATTAGGGTTGTGTTGTGGAGGTGCAGGGTTTAGGGTTAGGGCTGGTTCCGGAATGACTTGTAATACTTCACGCTCACCCCCTTGATGTGGAAAAATCCTTGAGATCCCTGATGTATTTGGGGACTTTCTTATTTGGGTATAACTCTCTGCCTAATGACTAATCAGAAAAGATAATTGCCACATTGATTAGCAAATTAGTTGCTACCCACGCATGTTTCAACACAAAGCCAGTGTTGAATCGCAGACTAAGGTGAAATTCAAAGACCTAAAGGCATTCAAAGTTGTACATTGCGTATTGACATCAAATTTAGCACTAAAAATTATTAAACAGTTCTTCCATCAACCAATGCTACATCAATATATTGTTTTATATCAATTTGTCAGTATTCAATATGCCTTTGGTGTCTTTCCGTGTATAACCAAACCAGGTCAGTGATCAGATATGTGCTCATTTGAATTCTATAAAACAAAAATACCCTACATTTGCATTATTATTGAACTGTTGCTGCAACCTTTGATAACTTGGCATTTATAACATTCTTAAAATTAGTTGAATATCATATTCTCAAAGGTTTGTGATGCCACCCTAGAGGATGAGAGAACTCCACTTTCAGGTAACGACAATACTGGAAAAGGCTGACAAAATAACTTTTTCTCATCAATCGGGTCTTGTGATATTGGCGCATGCTAACATTTAACGTGGTATATACAGCACATTAATAGGAGATGGACACAATAGATTTTTTTCGATTATGACCTTTTTGGAACGAGCTTAGCTGGAGCTAACCCATGTCATTGTAGACATGGTTGAAAAGTTCTGAGGGAAACCGTAGTTCCATTTCTGTGTGTGTGTTTGAACATATTTCCTGTGTCGTGTGCAGTGTTATGATAATTTGAGATGGTGATGGACGAAGCCATACGTCCACTCTCTCTGACCATCTACTCTAATTGTACCCTTTTTTTTCTTCTCATTTTTCTCTGATGCTTTTAGTCTTGTGTTTATAAATGGTTTAATAGACCTTGAAATGTTGTAAACATTAATCCAGTTTTTATTGTATTATAAAAAATTCAACAAGAAAAGATGTTCAGACATTACTTGACAAGCGTCACTGCTAAGTCTAGACATGTAACTCTCTATGACTTCGCACAAGAGGAGGAGAGGGAGGAGAGGCAGGAGAGGTCCTCATGCTGATGAGCAAATGCCTTTTCTGCTTTTCTGACTTTCAAATGAATTCAGACTAAATACAGTGTAATAATATTATTGTAATTATAACAAATACTACTAGTGTTTTTTACATGTTTTTAAATATATATATTTCAATCTTTACTATTTGTTTTCTGGAGGCGACCTCTTGATTCTCTAGAAAGTGTTATGTGGCTTTGATTTTCCACAGTATGGAAAATACTCCGCACTCGAGTTCTGCTTCTTTTGTTTACAACTTCACCACATTTTAGTTATAGGATCCCAAAACCTTTTTGAATCCAAACTAAACTGAATTTTGTTGTGACATGCATTGTCACAAGTAATTAAAGTTGCAACAAAGTATATATGATGTAATGTACAGCAGTATATTTTGGAGTCTCGCACATTTGTTTCCAATTATTGGGGCGTGACACAAAGACAACACAACATTGAATTACCATTTCATATTTAACTGGTTTTAGCTTTCTCCTTGTCCTACAACCTTTTTGGGCACTCCTTTTTCATTGAAAACCATCACATGACTCACCGCTAGCTGACACTGGAACAAAAATGAAATGCTGCAGCCTTAATTCACAATGTAAAGTCATTCTCTACTGCAGTGTCTCCCAAAGTGGGGTCCGCGGCCCCCTGGTGGGCCGCGAGGGTACTGCAGGGGGGCCGCGGGAGGTCATAAAAAAATAAAAAAATATAATTATTTAATGTTATAATTATTGAATATGTTTTGTTTGTAATATTAAAATATTTGTGTTCATTATTTGACTTGAATAATCCACTGTAATCATTTTTGTATTACAACGTTTGTAGCAGAGGCTATTTCCCCAAAATAAAATAACCAGAAGAGCCTATTCTTAATGTTGTCTTCTTGGTTATTATTTTGGGGGGCCACGCAGACCCGTCAGACTTTTAAGGGGGCCTCGGTGTTACTGAGTTTGGGAATGGCTGCTCTACTGCATTATATAGAAGTGCAAAAAGTCTTTCTAATCTTTCCACTTCCTTTACTTTTCATATTATTTGGACCAATGAGGTGATGTTGGATCATTTCCAAAGGCACGCTAACGTGCCACAGCCCACAGGTTGAAAAACACTTCTTTATCCTATAGACTATTTTCCATAAAATAAATTAAATTGTATTTTGTCACTCTTATATAGTCTCATTGATGGATTGTCTGAAAAGAAAGCTGCCTTGCACCTATCGCCTTATTGGATGGTTTCATAATTTCTTATGGAATGTTGTTGGTTGGCCCATTTCTAATCACCTCACCACAAAACACGCAGAATCTTTTCTTCTGCAGAGCTCGTGTCTATAAGCTGCAGCTTGTCCTATTTTTACATTCTTTCCCAAACTCCCTGTAGTAATACCTAAACACCATTCATAACCCCATGTGTATGAGCACAGTTTTGGGTCGTGTATCATCTGGAGGCCTCTCTCGTGCCTCCTCTGCCCTGCCTTATGTAACCAGCGGCTTTCTGTCGAGGTGTTAATGATGCGATTGTGAAAGCCGCGTCATAAACGGTGTATTTATAATGTTGTCGGCCTCAATGTGGCTCAATGCTCAGACGAACTATAAATCACAGCGCGAATTCAAGACGTGCCGAGTTACGATAGTGACTTTTAAAGTGAAACTAAGCCAATGCCAACACTTAAACTTAGAGGACCATGCACTTCTGTCCATAACGTTTTCTATAACTAAAGCTACAATAACATATGGGACCTTAATGTGCCTTTTTATAGCAAATTTTCATTGTTTTCCAACATTTCCTGGATTACTAGAGAGTGAGAGAAGCAAGTTTCTGATTGGGCGGGGTGAGAAAAGGCAGACCTCAAAGCACAGGAGCCAGATGTCTCGTTCCATCTTCTCTGCCCTCATACCCAAAACTTTTCTGAATCGTTAGTTTTTCTTGCCCTGGCCTCTTCATTCACAAGTGGAGCAAGATGTGAACTATTCTAAGGCAATAATAAAACTTGACTATAATGGAAAAAAGTTTGGGTCTTGCTATGGCTTTTCAAATACCTGCAAATATTGATTTCTCAACAGGATGGAACTATCCTGTTGAGAATATCATCTTCCCACTCACTTTTAGGCAGAATCAAGTATCATGTTTACATGCATTATACATATTAACTTCTGTCCTTATCTTTTTGCATGACATAAATACTTTGCACTTATCTCTTCCATAGCCTGAAATTAATGAATAAATTAAATCAAACATTGGTATTGGACAAAAAACATCTCTGTTCATCCTTTTATACCAAGAACAAGAAATAAAACGTTAGGGTTGTGTGTAAGTAAGCAGTAAGTAAGTAAGCTTTTATTTATATACCGCCTTTTCACTGCACATCGGAGTCTCAAAGCGGTTTACAATTGTTATTTTTTTTTTGGGAGTGGGGGTGCCAGTACAGGAGGCACATGCCATACCTATTGTACATATTTTTAGTGGTAGGGGAAACCGGAGCACCCGGAGGAAACCTACGCAGACACGGGGAGAACATGCAAACTCCACTCAGAAAGGCCCTGGTCCAACCGGGATTTGAACCCAGGACCTTCTTGGTGAGAGGCGAGAGTGCTATCCACTCAGCCACCGTGTATAGCCCTCACTGAACAAGAAACACTGTATTTAGTTATTAAATCATTTCAAACCTGTATTTTAATAATAAGCCAATAAAACAATCAACTTTTGTAAAATATTACCGAGACCATTACGCACTGTATCTGTATGATAATCGTCTTCTTACATCTTGCCAAAAATATGGTTTGAGATCAGACGGTTCCTGATGCTTATGTTCTGATAATCCTCGTACAGATCAGTCTAGATCAGTTGAAGTCCTGTCTCCGCTTTGTGCTGAGATTACTATTGGGGTCAAAGATGAGGGCTTTGTTTGAAAACGGCAAAACAGCCACACAATTGTTGGCAGATTACCAAAGCTCTGCTAACACTGATGGGTTAGTTTCTAAAGTTATTGAAAAAACTGACCAACGATCATGCATAAGTATTAGAATTTGTGTTGCAACTCCATTTCATTGTACAGTATCATACAATATTTGTTGCACTACAATTTTGCAAATGATTTAGAAATTAAAATTAAAGTCTGAAGGATAGTATAGGATTTGGCATTGGGGCTGTAATTCTTTTTTTGTAATTTTGTATTCCCTTTTTAAGCAACCCATTTTTATCTTGGGTTTTACTTGGGTTATATTGTTTTGTCCGGAACCCGTGTGTTAATTTGTAGCGCTGGCAAGTTTAAGAGCCAGTGCCACAAAAAACAAAATTACAACTTTGTTTTTTCAACTTAAAATGGTCCCATGTTTTCAACAGCTTCAGTCTTTGCCTCCGTCCCTCTTGATCAGCCCATTTTCCGTTATTTTGTCCTTGGTTTGAGCCGTCTTTGGACAATTTTACCGGCTTGGCCCTGCTCTGTCTGGTCCAACGTGCAAAATGGCCGGTGCGAAAATTAACATATATAGTTAGTCTGTGGTAAACGTCTGGGTGTAGGAAAACAAAAACATGAAGGTAGAATAAATGTATTGATACCTTGTTTAATAATAAAGTTATAATAATCGTTTCAGCCCTACACACAATTCTTAAGGCAATTCTTTTCATTAATTGGATACTTAATTTTTCAGCTGCAGTTGGTTTGCCTCGCTTCGCTAAACGCATCGATAAACATGATGCATGATGGCCCTAACCTTCGCCTATTCTTAGCCGCTGAAATGACAGTGACTCAGGTGTCACCGTTTCTAAACTCTATCTCCGGTGCCAAAAGTCACGTGTCTTTTGTTTGTCCCTTCCCCTCTCTCCGTAGCTTACCTGGTGACACTGCGACTTCTCCCTGAGGAGCCAAGAAGCAGACGGCTCATGACTTCTGACCAGGACACGAAAGTTGTCGCTGAACCCCAGGTGCAGCACGTGCAAGAGGCAAAAGAGAACGCTCATTTGGTAAGTCTCGCCGTTTCACAATGTCTTCAAGGTTAAGGGTGTTTTTTGCTCCAAATATTTCATGGCCCTGGATGCTTGAGAGTGCTTTTAGTTTGAGTGTGTCTCTAAACAATGTTATAGTTGAATGGTTTAACAAGTATCTTAAGTTTGTGGTCTCAAATATGTTGTTTCTGCTACGTTTTTGTGTTGACCTAATTGAAGGCACAGTAGAGTGGGGTGTATGTGCAACGGGCTATTCTACTTGTTCAGCCTCGTTTTGTGTCCCATTTATTCTGTATTTCTTTTAGAAGAGCTATAAAGGTAAGTAGTTATGTTGAATTTGATAAATGTTTTGTTTTTTCTTTCTATCTTTGTAGCCCATGTCATCTTTCAACTGGAATATTCCTAAAACTTTTTAAGTTAATCTTGCAAATGCATGTCAACATAATTTGTGACCGAGTTTACTTTTAAGTGCTATGGCAACAGTGGCCCAAGTGAGCATCTCCACAGCTGCGCTCCTTTTGACGCTGCTTGATTTCCCACACTGATTGTGTTTAAGCAGGAGAAACAAGAGGCTGAGGCTGCTTGTAACTGAAGCGCCATGACCTGTTTTTATTTCCCCTTTTCATCTCTGAGTCACGGCACTATTGAGTTTGGGTTCACGCTTTATGCCGCAAATATTCAGCTTGCATCTTTCACTGGCCCCCACTGCTTGGAATTCTCACAAATCTTGGAGACTTGGAAACTAGGATAAATCTTCAACTTGTTCCTTCAGTAAAACATATTTGAAGTTTATGAGTGAGGCAAGTGCTTGTGTGACAGATTTGGAGACGTGGGAAATAATTTGACTGTTTCATGAAATTAACAAATCGAATGACCCATTTTGAAACTAGATTGATCTCGACATCATGTCTTGTGCCACCGTTGAGTCAAAATGACCCGCCACAGTGATTCAAAGTAGAAGAAAAATGCCCTTAAACAGGGTCTAAATGCCCCAGGGCTGGTCAAGTTGAGAACCATACATTCATGTAATTACTGTGGCGGGTCAATTTGACCCGAGGATCACACAAGGGTTAAAAAAACAAAGTTACACTGACCTTGGAGCACTGTTGTGCAAAAAGATTCTGCAAAGCAGTCTGGACTGTTATTGAAGTTGGTGTACACAAACAAATCAAATATGCTCAAATGAACCATTTTTATTTAATTTGAAATGGACATTTGTCATATATGATTAAAATAGACAAAGATCTACTAAATGAAATAAAATGACGGAAATGTTTTAAAATTCTGAAACCAGGCAATTGCAATGGAGCCGTGGTGTGACTACAGACTGTGGGTGAGTGTGAAAGACGAGGTGTGGCTGGATGTGGCTCTGACCCGACCACAACAGGTTGTTTTTTGAGCCATAAACTTCCTGTAAAGTTATTGTCACACTGTGGAGCATTGATTGATGAAGCGAGCTTGCCTCATCTGAAGTTTTGACTACGGTGGAATATTTTCCCTGTAATGCAAGTACGAATTTGATTAGCCTCGACTTTTAACCACATTTTGTGGTGAATCATTTGTCACTAAATGAAGTGACCTCGGATGACGTTGCATGTGGCGCTTGATGGATGATGACAGGCTCAAACTGGCAGACTGCGTCCCGGCACAGCCCCTCTATAAATATCTCCCAAAGTAACAACACTGGGGATCAGTCTGCCCTCTTGCTCCACATATTATCTCACATGTCACACCCACATATACGCAACACAGCATTGGATCCAATGGATTTAGTTTGGTGGTGATAATGAATTGTTAATCTCACCATCCAACATGTAGTTGATTTAAGAGCACAAAAAAGTAGGGCCGGGACTCGATAAAAAAACAAACCAATCTAATTAGAGGCGTTGTAATGAATTAATTACATTTAATTGCATTTTAATTGCATATAAATATTTGACCTGAGAACAGTGAGACATTTTTTTCACATGGATTTTTTTGTTTACCATTGAATAATGACTGCTCCTCCTCCTCCATGGCTCCACACACAGCGCTCATTCCCGTCTCTAACTCACTGGGATTTCACTAAAGTTGGTCTGTGCTTGTAATAATGTACTTTAGAACAAAAAAAGTCAGCCATGCACGGAGCTCGAGTTGGTGCATCGGTTTAATTGGTCCGTCTGAAGCTCATTCAGTGAGGAAGGTTCCGCGGCGCAAAAACACATTAAAATGCGTCAATTTTTTTAACGCGCTAATTTTTGTGGCGTTGATTAATCTTAATTAACGCGTTAAAGTCCCGGTGTTCTGTCGAGTTGGTCTGCCCGTCGAGATGATCTGCCTCAGCTGTTAATGATGTAATGCAAACCTGCGCTGCGCGTCTCACGGCAGCCATAGCAAACCAAGATAGAATACAGTATGATACATGCATTAAATTTAATTTATTATTTCCATTATCAACCCGACCAACCAGTCACAGGACGCGTCATGGGCCTACGTCAGTAAAATGACGTATGCAGAAGTCAACTCAGGGACTGCTACCACAACAGCAGCAGTGTGGTTTCACAGGAACAGTGGACTGCTTAAAACAAACTTTACACGAAACTCTTACTCTTAAAACACACATTTCACAATGCGGAACCATCAACATCTCGCCTCAAATTGCATTAAAAGTGACATTTGTGTCTTAATTTGTTCGTATTTAACTTTTAAAGCAATTCACTGACTACATGTCTGCCATCTTGGATTGCTTCGGCTGCAGTGAGACGCGCATGCGCAGGTTTGCATTACATCATTAACAGCTGAGGCAGATCATCTCGACAGAACCCCGGCCTTACAAAAAAGTTTATGCCTTTTCACTATTTTATTTATTTAAACCTTGTGTTATCTCATTGATTAAAAAATACCCTTATTTTTTCCCTGCTGAAATTTGATTATTTCAGTCATTTGGTCATTTAGACATCAATTTAAGCTATTTATCATCTTCTTCTAATCACTGTGGTCATTTAGACCGGAGGGAAGAACACGTTTTAAGGATGGCCCCATTGGAATCATCTCTTTTCCCTAATTATTATAAAGTATTTTGTCTTGTGCACTGTCAGTTAGCCTTATTTATCTATTTAACAGGCACACCTTATTTTGCCCCAAATAATGTATATTACACAATGTCAAAGTTCTCAATTCTAGTGTCCCATGCTCCACCCACTGCTCCAAACAAGCAGATTACAATACAGTGAAAGTGATGAGAAAATGCTTTAGTAAAAGACCTTTTTCTTTGTGTTAATTTGATTCTGCTTCACCACATTGGCAAAAATGACTTTTTTTCTGAATAGAAGGTAGTGTTGAAGTCTGCACTGCTTGTTGCTCCCAATGTTTATGTTAACTCAAAGATGATTTATTGTATTAAAGCGGCAAAAACCCTGCAGTCTTTTTTTATTTTTTTTACAACACACCAACTTTGTTTCCTGTCGGAAGCAATTCATTGTGTACAAAGGTAATATTGATGCAATTTAAGCAGTTTTACATTTCCAGGATACATTTCTTATGTAGAATTTAATAATAGTTGATTTGATGAATTGGTGGTAGGTAATTAAATAAATACCAAAATAGAAATGTAGTCTTGTATTGCAGTAATCATAAATTGCAAACCTCATCATGTAGACATTCTTTTTCCGTTTAAATGTTGATTGGTTTAATTTGTAACTGCATTTCTCTTGTGACTTTGGCCCATATCTCTGACTCGTGCTGACTTGGGATAAAAATCTTGCCTCACTTTGACTGATAGCGGCACATGTGACTCCCAAAAGCAGCCCCAAGGATGCCTCCCTCCAGCCTGCCACACATGCCAGAACTGCTGCAATTTCTGCGTGCCACTCGTCCACAGACTCTGATCTTCCAATTCGGGGGAAAAAAAGAAGCCAAATTTCAACCTACTCTTTTAGACCTGAAGCGGTCCATGGGACAATACTCTAGGCCAGTGTCTCCCAAAGTGGGGTCCGCGGCCCCCTGGTGGGCCGCGAGGGTACTGCAGGGGGGCCGCGGGAGGTCATAAAAAAATAAAAAAATAATATAATTATTTAATGTTATAATTATTGAATATGTTTTGTTTGTAATATTAAAATATTTGTGTTCATTATTTGACTTGAATAATCCACTGTAATCATTTTTGTATTACAACGTTTGTAGCAGAGGCTATTTCCCCAAAATAAAATAACCAGAAGAGCCTATTCTTAATGTTGTCTTCTTGGTTATTATTTTGGGGGGCCACGCAGACCCGTCAGACTTTTAAGGGGGCCTCGGTGTTACTGAGTTTGGGAATGGCTGCTCTAGGCTTTCTAGCTTTCAAAAGCACAACTGTTTTTGGTCTGGATTTTTCCCATAACGGGATCATTTGCTGTTAATGCATCTTTGTTTATTTGAATTTAAAGGAATAGTTCACCGTTTTTACATACTGACATATGTTCTTACCTTACCTTAGACTAGTTAATACGTACCTGTGTGATCTTAGTCCGTGCGCTCTGTTATGCAAACGGAGCAAAAACGGGAGGACAAATGCAGCCTCCTCTGGTCACTGTGTAGCACCAAAAGGTAGCTCCCGCTAGAAGCTACCAAACTCTTCCAAGTGTTCCCTATTAAATGTATATAGTTACGTGACGTGTTACACTGCAAAGTATAGTAACACAGAAATGTAACAGTAGATTTTCTCAGCGGATAAAACGGGTACTATATTGTGAGGCGTAGTAATCTGAGGTGCGCTACGTCCGCGCACTAACTTCTCTCCGGAGACTTCTCTCTCGCTCACTTCCGTCAATAGAAGCAGCGTGACTTGTAGTACGGAGAGAAGTTAGTGCGCGGACGTAGCGCACCTCAGATTACTACGCCTCACAATATAGTACCCGTTTTATCCGCTGAGAAAATCGACAGTTACATTTCTGTGTTACTATACTTTGCAGTGTAACACGTCACGTAACTATATACATTTAATAGGGAACACTTGGAAGAGTTTGGTAGCTTCTAGCGGGAGCTACCTTTTGGTGCTACACAGTGAGCAGAGGAGGCTGCATTTGTCCTCCCGTTTTTGCTCCGTTTGCATAACAGAGCGCACGGACTAAGATCACACAGGTACGTATTAACTAGTCTAAGGTAAGGTAAGAACATATGTCAGTATGTAAAAACGGTGAACTATTCCTTTAAAGGTTTGAATAGGCAATTTTCTTTCTGGGCTTTCTGATTTCATCTCTAAATAATTAACTCCTATTTTCAAAGGGCATATTTGTGACTGCGGTAGGATTTTATAACCTGCGCAGTTGTGTCCGGTGCAGCAGGAGGTAGAGTGCACAAAAGAAGAGGGTGCTACAAACAACGTGTAGAGCTCTTGGCTCAACCAATGCTGAGGGGAGTTTTTTGTTTTTGTTTTTTTTTTTTGGACCGGCCTTGTTTAGCCGCTGTGGACTTCAGAATGCACTTGTTAAATGAATGTGACTCGTGTGGGCTAATGCATGCGCAAATGCAGTTTTTCATTTTCCGGTGGGAGGGGCTGCCCATGGCCATTTGGAATCTGCCCATTTCTGTGGCACATACATTTCAACGGAGGAAATGGGTGTCACTACGTCCCTTTATAGTTTATGACCCGTTTCTAAGTGATTTGTTACGATTATACCATTTTAACAAAAACATGTCTTCCTTTCTTAGTAAATCATTAAGCGCTATATAGAACTTTGTTATTATTATGATTATTTTATTGTCTCTCTAATCTTTGTCTTTGGTTGAGGTGAGAGCCAGATTTCAAACATTTCTTCAAAGGTCAGACCTGGTCCAGGCTGGCCTCTTCTGTGTGGTGATTTTGTAGGCCCTGGTCGCCACAGTAACGGAGCATAGGGCGGGGGCTTTTTATCACAAGCCAATCCAGGCGATTGGCAAGGGGGGTTGGTGTGACCAGACACATACTTTACAACCTGGTGAAAAGGAGATTGTCGCATCACTCTGAGGTAGTAAAGCCATCAGCCTAAAGCTCGGCATACAGCAATGAATCTTACAAGACCGGATTCTGCAGAAGGCTACGGAAAGTAGGGGTTAGAAACTGAAAAAGACATGGACACTTCATTATAACATGTGTTACACACCTGCTCATGGAAATAGAGTATTATATGGTATGCAGGAAAAAAGTTTAGTATAAAGTATATTTGAATATAAAAGTCTAAACTTATTTATTCACGAGGATTTTTTTTATTTGACCAGTATTGAGATTAAGAGATCCTTTATTCGTCCCATGGTGGGGAATTTTCAGTATTGCATCACAAGTTACAGACTGTAGGAATGGGGAGAACACGGCACTAGATAAATTAATAATACTTAACACAATACAACAACAAAAAATCTAACTCTGCATAGCCCTACAAGATAAAATATTGTTTCTTTTACCGGCGGAGTTTGTAGATTGCGGTAATTTTTTAAACTTACCGGATTATAAATGAATAAAAATCGTTTTCTGACTCTGTACATGTGCTTTGGGGACCGGATTTTGTGTCTTCATGCCACATGAAACCAAGCAAGTTGAATGCTCTTTAACTGTTGTTTATAGATAATGTTTGTGTACGTGTGTTGGGACATTTGACTGTTTTCATATCATTTTTAAGGGTGAGGGGAACAGCTGTATGCACAAAAGGTTTTATTCCAATTTATCAAAAGAAGGTATCCTGAACCTACTAGGCTACATAACGGTTACATGAAGTACCTATCATGCTATCTGAAATATTCATGTTCTACATGCATATAACAGCCACCATTTGTGCTTGAATGTCATGCGTCCTGGCTTATCACTGGAGGAGACCATATAATCAGGTGCGGTGGGGCGTAAAATGAGTGCCTGGTGAGAATTGAATGCTATCAAATGTATGTATTCCATCGTTGCATGTGTTGTTAGGTGTATTTAAGGGGTACATCTCTCCCAGATAAACAATAAGTGTATGCAACATATGTATTGATTTTATTGCATTGCAGAAGCAGTTTTTCCCTAAGGAATGCTTTGTACCTAATGCATACAGAGCAGACGGTTGTTGCGATCCCTGGTGTTTATAGGTCAAATGACTCAAACTGAAGCTTTGTCGAGCAGAGTTGTCCGCTCCGTCCTATCGGCTTGTGCCACGTCTGAGCAGCGCTGTTTATTCATGAGGATCGAGCTTGTGGCTCTGAGGCTGAAGCTCACATTTGATGGAGCAAATCTCAATGGACACGTCAGTTTCTGGACTCAGCACAGGACGCAGATTCTTTGTGTCCTCTTCATTATGGATTGGTTAGTTATCCCTGCCGTGTCGGAGGGCTTTTGGTCAGCTATGAACGCAGATGTGAATGAAACGGTTTCCCTGACGACGGCGTTGGGTTACAGTCTGTTTACCTGTGAGGCATTTGTTTATGACTGCTACATTAAACCTGTGAGTACCTTGGCTGCTTTAAAGGACACATTCTCCAAAACTATTTTGCATAATATTATCAACTACTTTCCTCATCAGATGCGGACCTGGAGCTGTTTATAGCTCCATCCACAATCATTTTAGATACTTCTTAAACAGATGGAGGCGTCATCTGTTCTGTCCAAATGCCTGAATCTCAAATGTATATACCCTAGTTCACAGATCCTATATTTTGTTAGTCATTACCTCCTATTCCATATAATGGACTCAAACATAACCCTTTCTTGTTGTTGAAGATAGAATTTATGCCATATTGGGCATGTAAAGACTGCAATAAGATTTCACAATTTTATATTCAAGTTTTACCACAGAAATGTCTGTTGTATTGAGCTTGAAGGTCTACGGTCAGACCTTCCTGACCATAGAATCCAGGGAAGTAGATTCAGGGTGTGGCAAAAGCCGATGGATTCAAAATACAAAACCTGTCTGTAAAAAATGACAGCAAACATGACACAACACATGCAAATCAGTTCGTCCAAGCAAAGATTAAGAAAATGTAAATATTTATATAACTTGTTGCCACGTATTTATAATGCTGCTGTTGTTCCTGCTGTAAGGTGAAACTGAAAGTCTTAAAGGGACAGGTGCACCAGCTGGGTAAACAAAGCCAATGGCGGCTGACGATGATGTCACCATACAAAATGTATAATCTGTTTGGTTTTTAAAAAACAAATTACAGGAAATGTGTTATTTTTCCTGGAAACAAAGATACAACAATACAGATCGTTGGTCAATAATATAGGTTAAATGCACTGTATACACATGTGAAGTCTGCTACAGTGTGTCTGGTATTTAAACAATATTACCCATGATGCAATGACACTGTGTGCTGTGTGTAAGAAAGTGCTTTTTTTCTCACCCTTTTTCTTCCACAGTATTAATCTTGTACTTGTCTGTGCGCAGGAATCCGCCAAGGTTTCAGACCTCAACCCCAATGCCAAAGCATGGGCCAACCACATGTTTAGCCTGGAGCCCAGTGGCAGCGCAGACAGCACACAGCCATGGAAGGACGGCTGCGAGAGCCCAGCCGACACCGGAACAGAGGGTGAGTGCTTCCATAATCGCTTAATATATTGGTTAAGCTAGTATCCTAATTGGCTGTTCCAATTTATGTAATTAAGACTATTAATATTCCAATTTTAAGTTTAACCTTACTCACTATTATGCTGGTAATAACAGGGGAAGGGGCTGAATGAGTTGATGAGGTTGGAAATCAAGTCAATTTGGATATAATTTATTATAAAAGACATTTAATCGGAAGTTGAGATGGGTCAAAAATGTTTGTCCCCCCCCCCCCCCCCCAAAAATTGCCCAGTCCTACATAAATATAGTGGGGACACTGTTTGTAAAATGAGGAATAAATCAGCCTTAATGTTCTGTTAAGAAAAGGCTATATATGGTTATATATGTACTTGGGCCGCAGCTAAAAGAGGTAGATACAATTTATATCAAAATCTCGCCTACTTGTCCTTAGAACTTGTATAAGACAAAAACAGCTAGCTCTAATTGTTGGAGTTTCCCATGCATATTTAAATGTTCCTACCCTGTGTTCTAGGGTTTGAAGCCATTGAGGAGAAGGCCTTCAAGGAGCCCCTGGTGACAGAGCCAGATGAGCCTCCTCCAGTGATGCTGGCCGACCCCGCCCCTGTCGCCTGTGAACCCTACACAGAGTTCAGTGACCCCGGGCAAACTGTGCACACAGGTACAGCCACCACACTGCACAGTCTCCACACTTCACTGGTCCACATGGTTTAGATTATCAGGCCCGGTTCATGATTAAGAGTTCTGAGGTTGTGTCTAATATTACAGTAATAGTTTAGTATATTATGTTTGCTCTTTGTTTAGATCCCCATTAGCTACAGAAATATACAGGAGCTATATGTTCTCTCAATATCACGTTGACATAAAAAAACAGCTAAAATGAATGTACAAACAAAAAATATGCTAAAACAAAAATACAGGAATGTTCTAGATTAAATTACACTGTAACCATATACACACACTCTCTCACTCTATACTCTCTCACTCTTTACTCTCTCTATACTCTCTCTCTCTATACTCTCTATATACTCTCTCACTCTTTACTCTCTCACTTTATACTCTCTCTATACTCACTCTTTACTCTCACTATATAATCTCTCTCACTCTATACTCTCTCACTCTATACTCTCTCACTCTATACTCTCTCACTCTATACTCTCTCTATACTCTCTCTCTATACTCTCTCACTCTATACTCTCTCTATACTCTCACTCTATACTCACTATACTCTCTCTCACTATACTCTCTCTCACTATACTCTCTCACTCTATACTCTCTCACTATACTCTCTCACTCTATACTCTCTCACTCTTTACTCTCTCTACACTCTCACTCTATACTCACTCACTATATACTCTCTCACTCTTTACTCTCTCTATACTCTCTCTCTCTACTCTCTCTCTATACTCTCACTCTATACTCTCTCTCTATACACTCACTCACTTTATACTCTCTCACTCTATACTCTCTCACTTTATACTCTCACTCTATACTCTCTCACTCTTTACTCTCTCTATACTCTCTCTCTATACTCACTCACTATATACTCTCTATACTCTCACTCTTTACTCTCTCTATACTCTCACTCTTTACTCTCTCTATACTCTCACTCTATACTCACTCACTATATACTCACTTACTCACTATATACTCTCTCACTCTTTACTCTCTCTATACTCTCTCTCTCTACTCTCTCTCTATACTCTCTCACTCTATACTCTCTCTCTATACACTCACTCACTTTATACTCTCTCACTCTATACTCTCTCACTCTATACTCTCTCACTTTATACTCTCTCTATACTCTCTCTCTATACTCACTCACTATATACTCTCTCTATACTCTCACTCTTTACTCTCTCTATACTCACTCTTTACTCTCTCTATACTCTCACTCTATACTCACTCACTATATACTCACCTTCTCACTATATACTCACTTACTCACTATATACTCTCTCACTCACTCACTCTATACTCACATTATATTGTGGTTTGTCATAGGCTTTTGTTTCTGTGTACAGGCAGTGACGCGCTTCCAGAGTCTCCTCAGGATGGACTGAGGGAACACCTGAAGAAGACGCTGGAGTTCTGCCTCTCCCGGTGAGCTCACATCATCAAACCTTCACCGTCTTATCGGACTTAAAAAATTATGTTGCAAGAATTCCAAAAACATGCGAGCGTTTAAGAAGGTCTTTTTAGTCGTCTCACAGTAGGGAAATTTCAGTTTGTTGAATACACATACCGGCATACACAAATCAAGGCATGCAGCGACCATTACTTCCGCACTCTTCATAGGCAAAGTGGGTTAAGTGGTTTGCCCACGGACATAACGACAGCAGACATCAGTGGGAGTAGGTGGAGATGGTCTTGCGGTGTGCTTGAACCCACAACCTTCAGGCTCAAAGGCCAATGCTCTACCAACTGAGCCCGTCGCTCCAAGGCTGGAAATGTGCTTTCATCACAACGAGTGAACTGATAAAATGGTCTGTGAAAGGCGGTATATAAATAAGATACTTACTTTCTTAGTTAAATAAACTTGATGAGTAAAGTAAGATGATTACATTATTTTTTTTTTTTATATATTTTATTTTAGTTTGACTGTTTCTTACAGCCCTAATATACCCATCTGTAACCCATAAATGTATCTGCATTTACACTGTCTTGTTTTTCATACAATCCCCAAATCCCTCTTTGACATGTTAAGACGTCTTTTGAAAATATTCGTTCTACTTTTCTGTGACTTCATTTCTAACATTCCAAGTGTCATTGTACACTGTCCAGTTTTTAATATAGATGTCTTGTGCTTATGTTTCCAGGGAGAATCTGGCCAGTGACATGTACCTCATCTCACAGATGGACAGTGACCAGTATGTGCCAATAGTGACTGTGGCCAACCTGGACCATGTCAAGAAGCTCAGCACCGACGTGGAGCTCATCGTCGACATTTTACGCTGTAATTCAACATTTATTTAATTTAAAATCAACAGATTTGCAAAGGATGTTTTTGAGGAAGTGACGCTTTGTATGAGTGGATTCTAAAGAAAACGTTCTGTTATGACAAAAGTGGGTTGAGCCGTAAATTTTCTAATTCACCTTGTTTTAAGTGCTTCTATTCCTACTGTCTGTAAGGGGCGCTGCAACACTGAAATGTCCCTACTCTGGTACTCTTATATTTACTAACTTCGTCCAAACTCCAAGAAATGGACCTGGACCACGTCAGAGTGCTCATAATGTAGGTTTGTGCATATAGTTGGAAAGAATCTAGGTGTACCAATCTCTTTCCCTGCAGTGGTCCATCAACACTAGGATTACTAGAACTTCAAACTCTTATTCTGTCTGAACCACGGAGCCCACCCTGGTGTTGGAAAGCGCAAGTAAATCGCCTTCATCTCGCCCACGATGTGTGAGAGGTCTCATGTTCGCAATCAACCCCAATGCACTTTTAAAAAAACTGAATCAGAAAACTATTTGGTTGGAATCCATGCTACATTTTTTGCTTGCACTGAATTTGACCAAACAGACCAAATGTGAAGCGAAACGAGGGAGTTTTGAACTGAATAAGAGTCTGTCCCACAGAAGAACACATGTAGAAGCACGATTACAATCTGTGGATTTGTATCAGATCAGTCCGCAGGCTGTGGCCACTGGCTCAGGGCAGATGCACGCACGCACACACATGTCATGTCGGTGTCTGGCTCCGACTTTGGATGAATGTGTGGATCCATCTTACTGCCCTCCATGAGACATCGTTCCACCTGCCTCACATAACTGTCGATCCCTTTGCTACACCTTTGTGTGCATTAAGGGCGTGACTTCTAAAACACTTCATTGTCCCTGAGCATAGAGAGATGTCTCCTTTAGATAAATGAACATATGCATAAAGTTTCTCACGAGCTGAGATTTACTCCAGAGGCTGAAGGATGTCTGTACACCGTGAGAATAGACACAAACGTACTGCAAAACTGAGAGGAAAGCAGGACGGAGACGAGCGGCCCCATCTACACACACAGGACTGAAAAATATAACACATTCAAATATTGGCCTAATAAGTGCTAAGTCTGATCAAGAGCAGAAGTTAATTTGATCTATATCAGGGGTGTCAAACTGGTCCCAGAAAGGGCCGGTTTGGCTGCACCCATTTCCTCAAATCGTCTGGTTTAGATTGAACTAAGTCTGTTGTGCTTCTGCTTGTTTGGAATTAAAACTTTGAGTGCTGGAAATATGTGGCTTGCTACTTATTTATTTTTGACTGATTTAGATGGTATATAATGTCTTTGGAGCAAGCAAAGCCGCTGAGGTGGTTCTATGTGCGCCCTGCACTATAACTTATGTATTACCGTTTTTGTAAATACGTTATTATGGACTATAGCATGACATGTATGTATTGATTTTATTGTTAGTGATTTCGTATGTGAGTGAGAGGATGCATTGTCTGAGATGTGACGAACTGTGGGCCTAAACTAAACAAATATATGTCTTCCCTCAGCTTCGCCGTTGGTCCAGGTGGATGAGAAGGGAGAAAAGGTGCGGCCCAATCAGAACCGCTGCATCGTGATCCTCCGGGAGGTCCCAGAGAGTACACCTGTGCAGGTACGGCCACGTCTACAAAGCACTGCATCATTTCCTTCAAACGTAAAACTAAACGATAGAGAAGGGAAGGATGCACTTTCATATATACAATATGGTAGTTTATTTCTCTCTAACCAGGGACTGCAGATGGAAACTAGCAGTTATCAAATGTAGAACGAATCCGTCTTTAGGAGATTAATGTCTCTGTACATCGTCCCTTCAATTCAATTTATACCGGTAAAGACCTAAATCACAACAGTAGTTTTCCCGGAGGACTTTACACAACTGCTGAATTTGCCACAAAAAAAACAGAATCAAACACAAGAAATAGAACAGAAAACACATTGTTATTGGTCCATAAGGGGCAGATGACCAATGTCCATAAGTGTTGATAAATGTCCATAAATGTTGTTGAATGTTGAGTGTCCTGGATCATTACTACTGTCCTTTTTAGTCAGACCTCCCAAGACTAAACTAAACTAAAGTAACTGTTTTGTATATTTTGAAGGAGGTCGAGTCTTTGTTCAAAGGGGAGAATCTTCCCAAGTTCATCAACTGTGAATGTGCCTACAACGACAACTGGTTCATCACGTTTGAATCAGAAGCAGATGCACAGCAGGTGAGGCGTGTTCTGAGGACGTAATGGTCGGAGCAAAATGATTTTAACTGCGGGATATCTCTGTTGTTTGACCTAACTCACCGGTACAACACTTAGCAATGTGTCTCTCCCACAGGCATATCAGTATCTCCGCGAGGAAGTGAAGACCTTCCAGGGAAAGCCTATTAAGGTATTTCTCTCTCTAAATTACACGAAAAAATGTTGAAGTGCTGGATTTGTGGCATTGCTCATTCTGATAACTCTATTTTCAAGCAATCTGACAACTTTTTGTGTCTTTACTGTCAGCCTGTTCCTTCAAGAGACATTGTATTACTAGTTTCCCCCTTGTCAATGAATTAAATAATAGAGAATAGATCCTTTTATTTGTAAGGCACAATTCATAAAGAACACAATTTGCCCCATTTAACAAACCAAACCAATCCGTTATTTGTTGTTAAAATTTGGGCTAACGCTGCTATTATTATTACTACTATTGTTTATTCCAGTCATATTCTCTGCTCTATTCTCTCACTATAGAAATATGCAAATACCTCCTGTTGACTACAGTGTATACTCCACAAGTGACTTATCCTTGAACCAAGTGCAATTATAGCTCCACAGTTTTATTTTATTATCTTTTATCTTAAATAATAGATCCTGTTTGATGTGTGCAGCCGGAGTGCGCCTATTTTCCTCCTCCTTCTCTGTTGTAATGTGCGCAACGATGACATTGAATTTTCCCCACTAAGGGACGAATAAAGGTTAATCTTATCTTATCAAACCATCACAACTGAAGATGTAGTCTGGGAAACATCCTGTCGTTATTCTCAGAGGAGAGCGTGGCTTAAGGTTGTCTGTAGCTGTTTATTGAGCGCTATGAATGTCTATCATATACGTCTGCACATAAGCGGCAATCGTATTAATTCAGCCCAATTATATGTCAACAAGAAGGGAAGCAGTGAAAAAGAAAGTACACAAGGGTTCAGCACTTCTGTAAACAAACATCTCGTCGTCTTTGCTCGCTATTCAAAAGCTGAAACTGGGATAGATTTAGTCCTTGTTTTGAACTGTGGTTAAGATCAAGCTGCGTTGTTCTCATGTGTAAGATGAAGAGATCCTTTTTTGTCCCACAGTGAGGATAATTTCAGTGTTGCATCACAAGTTACAGAACAGTAGGAATGAAGAGCACAAGATAAATGAACAATAACTCTAATAACTCTGATAAATGAATATACAATCTCTAACTCGAGCATAAAAAACAGCAGTATAAAATCTATATCTTTGCATAATAAGGAAATAAGTCTAGAATCTCCAACTTTAGCATGATGAAGCAAGACTTAAGTAAAAAGTTATTGTCATGTCCATGTTTAATAAATAAATAGATAAAGTAATTCTCTATACTTTCCCCTCTTTGTTTCAGGCGAGGATAAAGGCGAAGGCAATCGCCATCAACACTTTCATGCCAAAGAACGGTTACCGGCCGGTGGAGGTGAACCCTTACGCCCAGCGCCCGTACACGTCCTACTACATCCCCCCGGTTTACAGCCCCCAGCAGCAGTTCCCCCTTTACAGCCTCATCACTCCACAGGCCTGGTCCACCACGCACAGCTTCATCGACCCTGCACTGGTAAGCAACCTCTGCATATGTTTGGACATTTGCAGCTAGCTAAGAAGCGTGGCAGCTGCTTGTATTGTATATTTTGTGTGCTCCTTGTGTGCTCTTACCACTGTCTTGTAAATTAAAAATTTTCCCCGACTGTGGTTTTTCTTCATTTGCGACAGTGTTTCTCCATTATTTTCTTGGCCTACGTTTGCATCCAGCTGTAGTAATGTATCTGTATTATACCAGTAAAAAAAAAATCATAGCCACCATTTGGAACGATCGTCTTGGCTTTGTTCTAATCTAAGAGGCAGAGAGAAGGGTGTTTCCATTGATCCTAAGGCTGAAACGACGAAGTTTTTGTGCGCCGACGCGTCGCTTGTCCGAGCGAGGGGAAAAAGGCACGCCAAAAGTTATCAAAAGTGTGGGAGTATTTCCAGAAACGGCCAAATGTTGTTTTATGCACACTGTGTCGAGCGGAAATGGCCTACCACAGCAGCACAACGGCTATGAACGAACATTTAAAACGAAAACACCCGACAGCGTTCATGCCATCGCCATCAACCAGTCAATCGGCCGCGTGAGTATTTTTCATTACACAAAAACATTAATGTATTTGTATCTGCGTTGGAAATTCATAAACTAAAGCACTGTTTCGCTCTGAGAGGCGCTAACCGCTACATAACGTTACGTTAGTTGTGTAACTAACTAAACTACCTTTGTACAACATTAACAGTTACTGTATGTACAAACGAACAATTAACTTTAATCATACAATCATTGTTGTGTTATTAAATCAATTTAACAATATAATGTGTGTAGTTTAATTCATCTTTTGTATTAAAGTAAGCTGTAGTTAATTTTCATGTATATTTAAAATGAAAATTAAATATCTCTTATGTTGCAGCAAACGACAACCCAGCGTTCAGAATTTTTTCCCGAAGAGGCATGGGACTGATGAATGTACACCCCAAATGGCCGCTGAATTGACTGACGGTGTCCTGGAGATGATTGTTGTGGACATGAGGCCATTAAATATGGTAGATGGGAAAGGGTTTAAAAAAATGATTAAAAGGTTTCACCCTGGCTACACATTACCATCAAGAACCCACTTCACTAAGCTTATGGAGCAAAAATACACACAAAAAATGGAGGAAGTAAAGGCAATCTTGAAAAATGTGAAAGGAAAACTAACACTCACAACTGATGCATGGACCAGTATGGCCACTGAAGCTTACCTTGGTGTCACCGTTCACTTTGTTAATGATGAGTGGGAGCTGACCTCAATTAACCTGACAACAATGCCCCTCCAGGAAAGACACACTGCAGAAAATATTGCCTGTTGGGTTGAGGATGTTGTCAATAAGTTTGAAATAAACATAAAACATGTTCAAGTGGGGCGACAGTAGCTCAGTTGGTAGAGCATTGGCCTTTGAGCCTGAAGGTCGTGGGTTCGAGCCCACCTCAAGACCTACTTCACAACTTCCACTGATGACTGCTGTCGTTGTGTCCTTGGGCAAGACACTTAACCCCACTTTGCCTGAAGCCCCCACTGAAAGATCTCAGCTCCTGTGGACTCACCACCTGCAGGAGGATCAGTGAGGGGCTGGTGCTCTGTGGACTGGGTGCAGCTCTGACTGCCACCACCCGACCCAGAAATGGATTAAGGGGAAGAAAATGGATGGATGGATGGATGGATGTTCAAGTCATCGTGCATGACAATGCTGCAAATGTTGTTGCAGCTTTAAGACTTCTTGAGGAAAGACATGGTGTTTCATCCCTCAGATGTGCTGGCCATACTCTACAGCTTGTAGTTAACCATGCTCTAAAGGACAACCACATCAGCAGAGCTTTAGGAGCAGCAAGAAGTTTGGTGGAGCACTTTAAAAAAAGTGAGCTGGCCAGTACCAAACTTAAGGTTCAGCAAAAACAAATGGGTTCTGCTGACCACAGCTTCATACAAGATATGTCTGTGAGATGGAACAGTTCCTTTTACATGATTAGTCGCCTGCTTGAACAGAGGTGGCCAATAACAGCAACTCTTTCAGATCCAGAGGTCACTCAAAGAGGGAAGCGTTTTCTGGATCTTAAGGCTGATCAGTGGAGTTTGCTCGAAGAACTTGAACAAGCTTTTAAACCCTTTGAATGCGCAACTGTGTACCTGAGTGGAGAATCTTATGTAACAGTTTCCGCTGTACCTCTGCTGGTGAAAGGGCTTTGGAAGGCTACACAAACTGCTTTTGAAAATGCTTCAGTCAAGTGTTTTCAGGTCACTGCTGCACATGCGATAACATCCAGGTGGGAAGCTGAGACCACATTCAAGGATGATGGACCAAATGTGTGCATATTAGCAGCTGCACTTGACCCACGATTCAGGAAGCTGAAATTCCTCACTGCAGATTAATGTTTAAACGTTCAAGAAAAGCTGAAAGCAATAATTCTGGAGGAGAAAAGAAGGGCAATTGAGACAAACACTCAACAACAGGACACAGCAATGCAAGAGGAAAGACCAGTTGCTGACAGGCGGCCTGTATCTTTTCTAGACACACTACTTGGCTCAGATTCAGATGAACTCAGCAACAATGAGGAAGACAACAATGACAATAATGATGCTGAAGTGGTCAGAAATGAGTTACTGTCTTATTTCGGAGAATCCCCCATTTCCAAGGATGAAAACCCATTAAAATGGTGGAAAGAAAATGAGGCAAGGTTTCCAAATCTGGCAATGCTGGCTCGGTCTTACCTCTCTGTTCCAGCCACATCGACCCCTTCTGAGCGACTATTTTCAGCTGCTGGGAATATTGTAAACAAGAAAAGAACCAGCCTCACCCCAGAGCATGTAGACATGCTAACCTTTCTTCATTACAACTGTTAGACTGGAATGAGTGGAATTAGTTATTGTGTGTTGGACTGGATGTTTATTTTAAAAGCAATACTTTTACTTTTATTCAAATGTTTACAGTGAGTGTTCCAGAATATTTTGATCTGCATTTTGTTTTGTGCTGGTTATTTATTTTTTATTTTGCACATTTTAAAGCAAATAAGCTATACTTTTATTCAAATGTTTACAGTGAGTGTTCCAGAATATTTTGATTTGCACATTTTATAGGCTACTGAGTTGCCCATTGAGCCATAATTTTATTTGGTTAAATAAAAGCCATGCCATTTGAAAATACTGGCCTACGTCAATTTTTTCCCCTTCATTTTAAATGAAAAAATAAATCGGTAAAAGAAAAAATAATCTTTAGATTAATTGATAGAAAAATAATCGTTAGCTGCGGCCTTAATTGATCCTGAACTCTTTCTGATATTTTCCCTGTGTGAATGGGTGTATAAAAGTATTGTACACTGCAAAAGAATTATAAAAAATGAGGTAACAAATGCTTGAATCGAGTGGTTTTTATCCTAATTTGAGCCCATTCTGATTGTCTTTAAACAAGATTTGCTAATGAGTCATTTAGTCTTATTTCAAGAACTTTTTATCTCATTCCAAGGGAGACATTTCTTGTATCTTTTTAAAGCAAGATAATTTTACTTTGTCCCATTGGTTAACCTTGTTTTTTAAGGCAGTCAGAATGTGCTCAATGAAAGTATATTTTGCCCATTTATTAGTCATCACTTTTTGCAGCGCACTGTCATACTAAATACTTAATCCACATTCCAGGCTTTGGGAAAGATGTAGAATTTGTTTAGTTTTTTAAATTGCAAACATTTGCCTAAAACGAATTTACTCTGCAATGTTTTCAATTCGTCCCATTTCTAAAACTCGTCTGATTTCAGGTTGCACCTTTTCACAACAACCAGTTCCTAAACGGTTTCAACGGCTTCAAACCAGCCACCACTCCGCTCACCGTCAGACACTACTCGCCCAGGAACAGGTTTGTGCTCCATAAAATCTTATCAATCCAATTGTCCATAAACTAAAGACTTGAAGAAATGATAACGTTGCCACCCATAGACTACAGGTGTAAATTTGTGCTCCTGCTACAACCTGGTACCATGCATCTCACCTTTTGGCTAATGTTAAGTGTATTCTGTCCCTGTAAAGAATAAAAATCAAACCATAGTGTACGGAACTTAAGACCAGGACGTACAAAATGTGTCCTTGAAAGCCACATCCTGTCTGCCCTGGCTGCTGTCTGAAAAATACGCAAAAAAATTTCCCAGCAGGCAAACTGTCTCTGTGATCATATATTTTCACCAATCTTCCTCAAGAAATGTCCCTCTGCACAGTTCATTTTCTACCGTGAACGCTTTATACAGTTTAAGGCGTTTTGTGGTCGCTGCCATTTTGTACATTTCTGGTTGGAGATAGAGCGTTTATGGATCACTTAAATCTGGGTTACAGAACTTGTTTTTCCCAACAGAAAGAGTCTTGTAAATGTTATGTTTTGCTTACTTGTCACTATTTGACACTTCAGGCTGAGAAATGATTGGTTTTTTTGAGGGTCTGTAATGGCAAAAATGTGACAGAGGATACAGGATAGAGTGCCTCTCAAAAGTATTAATACTGTTTGAACTTTTGCTCATTTTGTCATGGTTACCACCTTAAACATAACGATTTAATTTTGTTTTTTTGTAACTGAATGTTCACACACAAGTAAGTAGACAACTGTGAAGTGAAGGCAAAATGAAATAAAATGAAAATAAAAAGGGACAATTGAAAAGTTGTCTGTTACTAGATTTAATAAAATCTGAAAATACGACAAAATCTGCAAAAGTTGAAGCTGTATTAATACTTTTCTGTACATGCATGTGAGAACTAGTAATGCAACTAAACTGATGAGTTATTTGGCTGGATTAAATACTTTTTTAGGAGTTTTGAAACTATAAAATCATACCATGCCATACAATATTTCAGACCACGTACTTCAGCCAAACTGATCCATACACGTTTATTTTCTCACTCATTTGTGACAATCTGCCTTTTGTCCAGGAATCCCAGTAAATCGCACTTGCGGCCCGCGGTGCCCACAGTGGACCGCAGCCCTGGTCTCCTGGACAGTCCGGGCCTCTTCACCAGCTTCTCTAGTGAGCGGCTGAACGGCATCCGCAGCAGCCCCCCCACACGCCTCCCCACGGCCCAGACCAGGAGCCGGCCGCCCTCCACCACCCCCTTCCCCCGCAGAGACACGGTGGGCACCGGGAGGGTGTCCGAGCCCGCCACCAACGACTTTGGCATCGGGAGAGGAAGGTGAGAACAGAGCAGCCATTAGAGGGCACTGATAAACGTATGGACATATTTTGGCTCGGCTTTTAATTTGCTGGACTGTTCCCAAATGTTTTACATGCAATTATTATATTAAGTATTTATTTGTTGGCTCAACAATTAAAGGTGATGCCAGTAACTTTACATTCAAATGAAGTTTGGAAAATAAACAACAAGGTGAGATTTAGTATAATAATAATAATAATAATAATGCATCGGTTTTATATAGCGCTTTTTTGGACACTCAAAGACGCTTCACATGTGTCATTATTCATTCACTCCATACACGGTGGTGATAAACTACTACTGTAGCCACAGCTGCCCTGGGGCACACTGACAGAAGCGAGGCAACCAGTATGTGCCATCGGCCCCTCCGACCACCACCAACCATTCTCACACACACACCAGACTCATTCTAGGCAATGGGGGTGAAGTGTCTTGCCTAAGGACACAACGGCAGTTTGGCACTTTACAGCCGCAGCCGCCCCACTGTGGCTGGTGTTCCCAGAGGTTAAGGGTGTATTCAGACCTGAAAAGTTCTTTGCTCCGCTTGCTTGATCCGAATCAAAAGCGGACCAAACTTTTTTCTTTTGCTCCGGTTTGTATTCAGACTGTCTTTTTTGCAAGTGAACTTTTTTATGTAAACATATTGACACGTGTGACGATCGGCGCTCCTATTGGACAGCGAGAGCTCACGGAGGATAGACGCGGAACCGGAGGAAAACATTGAGGGCTCGTATGTGCAGCATGTCTGCTCTGCCTCTGTTTGTTCTTTTTAGAGCAAAACCACCTTCAACATCAACAGCAGCTCATATGACACAGGCCAAACACGTTGTTTTAAATATTGGAACAGCGGCGGAGAATGCGTGAGGAGAAAGCCGAAGGAGACTCTGTGCGCTCCGTGTCCTGTCCCACACATGGATCTATTATAATAACGGCCCTGTTCAGCATTGTGGATAAACCATGGATCTATAATAACCACGGGACAAACAGACGCTGAGGATCAGGTAGGAACCAAAGAACACAATTCACTACATGATGCGGAATATTGCTCTTTGAGACGTGAGTCAATAATGCAAATGGTTTGAAGATGCTGCCATTAACATCAATGTATACTGTGAACAGTTTTAACTCCATAAGTCTGTTGCACAGCGTCTCCTCACTGCTCCAGGTCTGCACACGGCTCAGTGTTGTTGTGTAGCGTTAGCAGCATAGTTAGCAGCATAGTTAGCAGCATAGTTAGCAGCATAGTTAGCCGCTGCGTGGCTAATTCCTCAGTTTCTGTCTGCGGCTTAAGCCCAAAAAATGCGCACGTATCTTGGAGTTGTGTCGGATCGACACCTGATGTATTCAGACCTGATTCGACTTGGACCAGAATTCGTTTGGAAGCGGACCGAGACCACCTCAAAAAGTGGGTCTCGGTTCGGTTCTTTGGTCCGGACCAGGATTCGTTTGTGTGTATTCAGACCTGCATAAAAGATTCGGATCAGAGTTCCAAACGAATCCTGGTCCGTTTAAAGTGGAGCAAATGTGCAGGTCTGAATACACCCTAAGTGTCTTGCCAAGGACACAACGACAGTAGTCGGGAGTCGATGGTGAAAGTCTTGAGCGGGGCTTGAACCCACGACCTTCTGGCTCAAAGGCCAACGCTCTACCAACTGAGCTACTGCCGCCCGTAAGTATGTATTTGTTGACAATTATAGGTGTCTATAGACATAAAATTCAAAGGGTACATTTTATTCGACAGGGGCGACAGTAGCTCAGTTGGTAGAGCATTGGCCTTCAGGTCTGAAGGCCGTGGGTTCATTTCCCACCTCTACACCTTCTCCACCGACTCTCACTGATGACTGCTGTCGTTGTGTCCTTGGGCAAGACACTTAACCCCACTTTGCCCAAAGCCCCCACTGAAAGATCAAGGCTATGCTCACACTCAGAGAGCAGCCGTCCTCCTGTGGACTCACCACCTGCAGAGGGTCAGTGAGGGGCTGGTGCTATGAGACTTGGGTGAAATCTCTGATTGCCACTCCCCTGACCCAGAAATGGATTAAAGGGTAGAAAATGGTTGGATGGATGGACATTTTATTCAAACTACACTGCAAAAAATGATGAAAAATAGGTCAAACATTTCTCATATTTGGCAAAGTGTATCTGAATGTGGGCACATTCTGACTGCCTTAAAAAGATAAAAGAAATGTCTCCCTTGGAATGGGAAAATAAAGCAACAGTCCTTGAAATAAGACTAAATGGCTTATTGGAAAATCAGTATTCAGTCAGTAACCTTGCCTGCAAGCTGAATTCTCGCGGTATTTGTGAGTTCACAAACACTCGAGAATACATCTTGCCCCGCTCCGGGGACGGACGCGTAGCTGAGGCTATCAAGTCAGTTTTAGCAGAATCTCCAATTTCTTTTTTGAAAGATGAACAGCGAGAGGCGCTTTGTGTTACCGGGATTAGTTTAAGTCAAACCTTGGTAGGCGGGCACACAGCGTCACTTCGCCCAATCAGCTTGCAGTATTCTGCTGCTTATCCAGAAGTCCCTGATTGATATTGTGGAGAACGCATTAGAGTTCTACACAATCATCAATCTGGCTCTTGCCAGTTTATTCAGTCAGTTGGCTTCTTGGGAATTGTACACTAATAAAAGTTCTGCCTCAAAACGCAAACTCCTTATGTTTATAGATTTTCCTTAAATGACAAATATTTCTGCTTCTAGGAAAAAGAGGGACGAGAAGTTTACAGTGAGTACATGTTTTTAAGTCTCATCTTAATGTTTCGTATTTAGACCATTTTAAACTAGTTGACCTCATGAGTTTTGTGTTTTTCCTGCAGAGAGTGACACCGCCGTCACCGCCCCCCAAACCCCCATCTCCGAGGCTGGAGTTGGGCCTGTCCAGTTTCCCTCCTCTCCCTGGAGCCGCCGGTCAGCTCAAAACAGAAGATGTGTTTGAGAACCGACTGGTCAGCAGCGTCGTCAGCGGCAACGTCAAGGATCGGGTATGAGAAAAAGCCTTACGTTCTTTACTCAACCGTTTTATAAGCAACGTCCTCGCTGAAAAGATTGAGGTTTGGAGTAACGCTACATTTGTGTTTTGCAACAGTAAGTCTTGAGATTCTATTGCTGGTGTTCCAAAATGGGGCTGCAAATGGGTGGTAAATTTCTGCTAAGTTTCCAGATCATTTTCATGGGTTGGTGATTTGTGGAAATATTCAATAACTGAGAATTAATTGTAATGTAATTCAATTGTATTATATTCAAGATTTTCTACAGATATTACAACAGATTTATTTGTAAGTTCCCACTTCACTATAACTATATTTAAGTTCCCATTGAATAGTCAACCTTCACTTTAGAAAATTCTGAGTAAATTCCCATTAATTCTCATGGAAAGTTTACATAATGTTTTCAAATGTCCAGAATTTTCCAACTCTTTTCAAAAATTTACCTTGTAAGTTAAAATCTTTACTATTGCTACTATGAGAAGGCAATTTCAGCAGCTGTCTGTACAAGGAAAAACATGGATCCATTTTCTTTCTGCTCAGTAACAAAACTGCAAGGATCTATAACAAGGACAGTATTCCCTCTTTTTGTATTAAAAGCCCTCACACTTTTTCTGTTTTGTTGCAGAATGTAAACGCAGAATCACACTCTGGAGCCATTTCTCCTTCAGGCCCCAAAGAGTCGCAGCCATCGTCCACTTCCCCCAAACCCAGCAGCCTCCAGCCATCAGCAGTCACCACGACAACCACACAGACTCCCAACGCCGCAGGACCGCCGCTTCCCCTCGCCGCGGCTGCCTCCACAGTGTAAGGGACCAGGCCTCGATACCCCTTAAGCTTGGCACATGTCCATGAGGCAAACATAGAAAAGAGGGTTTTAAGGCAGTATTTGTACAACTGAGGTCTCCAGAGTTTTAGATGTAATCCAGATTCAGAAAAAACTTTACTGCATTTAAATTTACATTGCAATCAGCCTCCACCGACCTGAAATACAGGCCTGTTGAGAATAGTTACTGTAGAGTTCTTGGAAGTACTGAAGGCACTCCTAAGTTTAAAACTACTTCTCCACTGATAAATCTGTTTTTCAGTTTTGTGGAGTCAGAGCTAAACACTTTGCGCAATGACCAATAACCACCCCAGCATTTCTTATCTTTGAACTGTTTCTCCGATGTGCTTACGAATTCAACGGTTTTGTAAAGTCCTCAGAGAATAACTACTGATGTGATTTAGGGTTATACAAGAATACTTTGAATTGAATTGGTGCATGAGCCAGCGCACAAACTGTTACGCAGCGAGTGTTTCAAATGCCCCACACGCCACACGTCTCTAAACGCGAACGTGTGTTTGTTTTCAGCGAAGTGAAGGCGGCGGCGGTGAAGGAGACGCCTTCAGTGGAGCGTGTTCCCGGGACGCTCTCTACTGCCAGTAAATCTGTGCAGGTCAATGGAGCCGCCACAGTGAGTACTATTTACTACCATGTGTTCAGATTCATTTTATTTGCCATGTCCAGTAAAACCACGTTGAAATACATGTGCAAAGGTTCCCCTGTGTGCACCAGACAAATATATAGAATTAAAGAAGCTAAAAAAACCATTGAAATGTCTCAAACTTTCATTAGTAAGAATAGTCATTGCCGCTGCTTCACTGTGTCTTTCTGTGGCACACAACAGGCAGTGTCTGTGGCTCTGTCTATAGATTTAAATGCAACATGCCTAATAGATAGATGGATACTTTATTGATCCCCCATTGGAGAAATTCAGGTGTCCAGCAGCAGAAACACATCCATCCATACAAATACATTATTCTAAAAAGGTTTCAGAACAACTTGCATATTATATTAATATATATTTTCACTTGTATAACTTGTTTGCACCATGAGCCAAATCCAATTCCTAGTTTGTGACTTCCTCTTGCTTACAATGGCAATAAAAAGGAGGTTGTCTCTGCCTCTGTCTCTGCCTCTGCCTCTGTCTCTGCCTCAGTCTCCGCCTCAGTCTCTGCCTCAGTCTCCGCCTCAGTCTCCGCCTCAGTCTCCGCCTCAGTCTCCGCCTCAGTCTCCGCCTCAGTCTCCGCCTCAGTCTCCGCCTCAGTCTCCGCCTCAGTCTCCGCCTCAGTCTCCGCCTCAGTCTCCGCCTCAGCCCCTGTCTCTGCCTTTGTCTCTTTCTCTGCCTCGGTCTCTGCTTCTGCCTCTATCTCTGTCTCTGCCCCTGCCTCTGACTCTGCCCCTGTCTCTAACAAAGTGTGTCTTTCAGGAGTTGCGGAAGCCATCCTACGCCGAGATCTGTCAGAGAATCAAAGACTCGGCGTCCTCATCACAGACCTCTTCGAAGGAGCACAAACCCGAGAAGTGCTCCGAGGGCCCCCACCCGGCAGCGACCCCCGACAACCGGCCGCAAAGAGAAAACCAACAGCCTTCAACGGGACGGACGCCGCGGGACGCTCCTCGCCGACGATGGGCCTCACCTCCTCCACTTCCAGGGAAAAGCAACGTGAAAGACGCCCACCACACGCCGCCCAAGTCCCCCCAATGAAGGCCCCACCTCCCCCACCCCACCCCCGGCACAGGGCTGTCCCTCCCAGAATCAGCATCAAATTATCAGGAGGCGCCTTCTTCTGATCAGGGCTCGCAGACAAAAGCACTTTACCGTGCACGTACAGCACCATTTCATTTGTTTTAGTCTAATTTATTTTCCTTTTCTTTTTTTTTTTTTCTCATTTAATTTGGTGTTGACAAGAAACAATTGGATGTTACTGGCCTGTTGGGAGTTGCATCAATTGTTGTGCAGCTTTATGTAGCTAATATTATCAGCAAATATTAACATCTCATCCTCCCATTTGTATTTGTATGATTTTGATTTTGAAATAATTTAATTTTTGTTGTTTTATTTTAGCGAAAGTTTCCTCCGGCTTTGAGCTTGCCTAATCCTGCTGTTTTTTTATTGGTTGCTAACTACTGCTTTCTGCACCGCACAAAGAAAGACAAAAAGAGGCATTCAAATCAAAACTTTTAAAACTCGAAATTCTTTAAGGTGTTTGCCAGGATGCCAGCTAGTCTTTTTCGAAATGGCGGAACGCATACTATGACACACAACTGTCTAATTAAAGATCGCATTCTGACTCTGAAGCTGCATTTGAAATAAGGGTAACGCGATACTTGGACGCTAGCTCGTTTCTAGGTCAATGCTTCAACAACAAAAAAGAGGATTCTGTGATTTACTTGCAATGTTGAGGTGATAATTTCAAAAAGGGAAGTGTCTGTCAAAGTACCGGCGACGCGTGCGAGCCGTTTGGAGGCCGCCGCAGCTGTAAGGTCGACTTTTGAGAGATTCCAGAGAGGTTTTAGTTCTTGGGGAGTGATGGTTTGGAAGTTGAATTGGTTGCGTGACGGCGTGTTGTGGAAGGCTTTGAGTGATGTTGAAACGATTCGACAAAGGATCAACTTAGGGGTGAAATGCAAGACTTCTTCAATATCTCTTCCTGTGTTCACCACTAGGAGGCGACCTGTCCACATGCTTCCCTTATGCGTCGCAGTTTGTTCTGGCGTTTATTGAGCGAAACTGGATGAGATTAACCAAAGCACATCAAGGCACCACCCCATGTTTAATAAATGATTAGGATACTGTCTGTAGCAGCCATTCAGACCGGAAACTCCTTTTGGAGCTTTACTAAAAGAAACTATTCCCCCTAAAAAGACAATTTCCCCAAAATATTTATAAATGCTGTAAGTAACTATTTTAATTATTATATTAAAACGAATAAATAACATGTAAATAATTGTTCTCCTATTTATATGCCTATATATATATTTTGGATATATCTGTATCAATGGCCTTGGAGGCTATACTATATTCTTTATCACTACCTTTTCTTACAAACATATTTTGGATGTTAAACTGGAGCTCAGAGTAGAGCCACTGCTCCTCAACATGATGATCTTTTTTTCTTTAAGCAATCCAGCAGTAAGAAAAGTGTCACAAATGGTGTAAATAATCCTAGTGTGTACAGGTTTCAGAGGGACACGCTGGCTCTGGTGTGTGTGTATGTGCTCGAGTCTAGACCGAGCCTAGACCGAGCCTCAGACCTTTGTGTGCTTGGGTTAATCCACCTGAGGAGCAAACCACTGCTGTATTCATGTTCAAACGCCTGTGGGACCCACTTTGTCCTGCCCAAGTCTTCCTGAATCTACAAAGCATTCTGGGTTATCCCATTAAGAAACACAGGAGCCAATGTGCTGAAGGGAACTGATTTGAAAAACTCCTGCTCATAGCTTTTGATTTGGAAGCATAATCTTTTTGTTTGAAGGACTGAAATGCACTTGGATGGCTTGATTAGCGACTTGGAAATGGTCAGAGGCAAACCATATCCGCTTATGTTTATAAGCCAGTGCTGTTTGTTCCATGAGAGATCATTTTGTTTTCAGAAAATGCATAGCAATGCCTCTCCATTTACGCTAAATATAAAGAAATGTCCATCCAGTGTTTGAGAAACTTGAATTTTATTTAAACTTGAAAAATGACTTTGCCTTAACTTTTTATACAAGATAAGCATAGAGTTTATTTCTTTTGAGAATATCCCTTATGAGTGGAGAATACCCCAGAGTTCAAGTCTAGAAGCATTTTCGTTTGTTCTTTCCCTTCATTTTTGTACAAATTCTTTTTGAATTCTTTTGTTTTTGTTTGCGGGAAAGAATATTGTAAATGCAAAACTAGTCAATACTGTATTAAATATGTGCACTTTGAAGTGTGTGCTTTGCCTGTACAGTTGTAAATAATCAGAAAATATAAGAGGTACCTTAAAAATGATTATAAAAATATATTGATCTTGTTGAATTATTAATGTCGAGATGGATGTAGGATATAAAAAAACGTATTGTTGTGCTTTGAGATATTTTCAAGGATTTCTGTTCTTTTTGTTTGCGAATGTTTGAATTCTGATTGTACGTTTTAGTTTTTTTTTTCTGTCTCATTCCATAATTTGTACCTGCGCAGGTGGGACTTAAGCCCCGCCCCCTGCTGCCTTTAGGTCACTGCTTGTGGTACGGACGAAGTGACAAGACGTCTGACCATTTCTGACTCTCCCCAATGATGTGGCAACGGCTTTTAGAATCTAACAAGTCCATGCTAGGACACGGCCGACACGGTTAAACGTACACATGCGTTTGGACTTTTCTTTGGGCAACTTTGTGGGATGAGATGTTCGTAGACGCCACAATTTGAGGAGTAAATATTTGTACATGTAGCTATGTTTTAAAGCATGACTGGAATAAACAGGGACGAAAAACTTGGGGCGCAATCACACCTGGTCCAAATGAAGTGAAAGCCAAAAGTAAAACATGTCATCAATTATTGTGAAGAAACTTAGAAACTTGGAGAATGATTTGGACGCATGGAAAGAATAACTCTGGGCTTTTGTAAACCGTAAAATGAACTTTTTTTAGGGGTCTTTTGTGGATTTTATTTTAATTTCTGATCAATGTTTTATTCAGAAGCATTTTGGCTCAAAATACTAACCTAAAAACTTAAGTTCATCTGTGGTTTGAGCTAAGCCTTTGAATCAACCACAACTCGGGATAAATTGTAAAACGGGAGAGTACGGACTTGATGCATTCATAACATTATTTTAGATCAATATAGAGATGTACTAAATGTATAAGAAATAGAAAATGGTGTTATAGATAATCACCATACAGACAGACACATGCCTTGAATTAACTTTCTTTTTTAATCGTTTTTCTCTAATGAAAAAAAAATACGTCTACAATTCTCCATCTTGTTAAAATGGAAACTAGACCAGGCGATAGTAATATTCAACCATATTTAAGAACTTACGTGCAACTAATCCCTGTGTTTATTCCAGTTATGCAACAAAACTGAGTTTGTTTTAAAGCCATAAGTCTGGGGTCGTGATCAGAAGTGGTCTGTACAGCGCGGACGTCTCGTTGACACTGCGTTCTTTGGTGCTTGGCAAAAAATCTGATGCGTTTTCTGTCTACAATTCATCATGTGGCCAAAAATACTCACAAGAGGAAAAAGGAAAGCCATCTTTACAAGAATTTATACCGTTCTCTCTTATCGCCTAAGCCCCGACAAAGTAAACCCAGCCAGACTTCTTCACAGTTTTCGTTAATCAAGCTTGCTTTTAGTTTTGGCTATACTTAAAAAAAAACTCTCCATGTTTTTTCAATTTAGAGTCTGGGCTTTTTCCCCCCCCGATACCAAAATCTATGCATGTAATTTATGGGCAAAGTTGGCATGAAATGAAGATTATTGGTGGCATGATGGACATAAAAACGGTTTAAAAAGCACATAAACACAGAGAACGCATTAGGTGGACTGCATTTTTTTTGTCTAAAGATGGGAGTTTTTGATGCATTGACGTAACGACAAATTCCCGTCACACAAAACTGATTAGCCAAAAATCTGTAGCGCTGTTCACATGTCTACGTTTGTATTTCCCTCGTTTCCTATGTCTGTCAGCTTTCACAGGAAATCAATGTGTAAAAAAAAATGTTTTATTTTGGGGGCTTTTATTTTAATATTTTTTGTATGTTTTCGGTGATGATCGAGCCTGGGAATGTTGAAGCTCTTGGAGATCTGTGGCACATAGCGCTAACCGAGCTAACATCACACTTTCGACGAAACCTACCAAAAACTGTGCCATTTTTTTCACGTCTCCGCCACCTTTCGACATTCATCACATTTTGGAGAGGAACTCGAAATGAAAATGTAAACGGGAAGAGACAATTCTGGCGTCGTTTCGGGCGGGTTTTTGAGACACGGATTTCACAAACTTGAGTGGGCGAACACAGACTGTGCATGGGTGGAGATTTTCCCGCCATTTTTCGACCGTCCAATTGTGGAGCAATATCGGAACTTTATAAAAAAGGTCTCGGAAAAAAAAATTCCCGCCGAAACGAACGCCATCTTTCCTGAATGGACTTCTCCGGAAGCCGTGATCTCTGCTTCTGAATTTGACTGTGCCATTTTGAAGTTCCTTGTGTAAAAAAAAAAAAAAATGGACCGCTGCTTCTTTACTTTTTTTTTTTTTTTCTTTTTTTAACAATGATATTGCCGAATGCAACTGACTGGACTCCCTAATCAACTCACTGTGGTTCTAACACTCGCTTCAACGGCTGAGGACAATCGAGAACTCCGCTTGCATGGAGTTCGCCAACTTTGGACGATTTTTGGCCGTCACGACACGCGGAGGTTTGCGTTCAAAGAGGGCTTCTTGAACTACTATTTGTGTTTTGATTATACTTTGTTTTCCTTTTTTTTTCTTTTTTTGGGGCTATTCTTCCATTGGAGACTGGAATCAAGCGTTTTTTTTGTCAGCTCTAGATCATTTAAGTTACTCTTGTGTCATGATGTAAACCTGTCTAATTTGGAGAAAAAATGTAGCTTACTGAAAAATAAAGATTTAGGCACTGATGAGGAACGGTGTGTCTGGGTTCTTTTTGTGCTTCTGTGATGCTTGCTTTTGTTTATTCAAATAAATCCTAATTTGTTTTACAAAACTACTGGCATATTTATATCTATATCTGATCTATTTTATCGATCAATATAATGTAAACAAAACTTTTCGAAAAGTTTACAATTTGTCCTTTTAACAAGTAAGTAATCTTTATTTATATACCGCCTTTCACAGACTAGAGTCACAAAGCGGTTTACAATTGTGGTTTTTTTGGGGCATTTGTCTCCACACAGAGATGAGAGAGGGGCCAGTACAGGAGGCACATGTCAGACCTTTTGTACATGTTTTAGTGGTAGGGGGAACCGGAGTACCCGGAGGAAACCTACGCAGACACGGAGAGAACATGCACACTCCACTCAGAAAGGCCCTGGTCCAACCGGGATTCGAACCCAGGACCTTCTTGCTGAGTATTTTTTTCATTGGCCAGATTTTATTTTAATGCCATACTAAAGTTTCACCCCTTGAGCAAGTCCTCTCAGATATACTGTGAATAACAAAACGTAGCTTAAGAAATACTTGATAGATTTTAATAACTGATCTGTTTTGCAAATAGACTCTTAAAATATATCTGATTATATACATACGTACAAAAACAAGAGTATAGTTAAATGTAACACGTGGTTGTACAGGGTGAATGCATTAATACAATCAGAGGTGTAATGAAAAATAGTGTGCTATATTGGTAATTTACGAATCATTTGAGGATCTGACGACATATAGGTTAAATACACCTTATACTTTCTGCATTCTGGAAACAAGACTAATTTTAAACAACAGTTAAAATGGTGCTGCTCGAATGCAAATTAAATGGGGCATGTGTTGATTCTAAATAAAGTTACTCAAGATTACTTTGAATATGGAAATATTGCATTAAAATGTATTAATCACTAACTTCTAATACGTAAGCTATTGTAATTGCAAGTACATGACCAAAAACATTTTTTTCTCATTTACACTAATGGAAAAGGCCTTGCTGTAGTATCAGTACTTCACCGCCAGAGGGCAGCGCAACACTTTTACCATCAGCCGTCGCTGTTCATTAAATATACAGTATGTTTCTCAAACGTGGTTTCAAACGAGGAAAACTACAAGAACACGAATAATTTGTCATGACAGAACGCCCCTTATGGCCAAGTTACACATTTCCATCGATATGAGCTAAAATAGAATGGAAGCAAACTTAAGAAATATAGTGTGATGTTAAATTGACACGTGCCGTTCTTAAAATTCACAAATCCATTAAAATAAACAGATACATTTAGAAAACCAGAGTGGGTGAACTCACTGACATCCTCAGTTCGTTGTCCATCTGTTTTCAGTGGATATTACCAGTCACTTTCAAATCTGATGGATAACACCCGACAGGAAACCAACCTTTCACAATAAAAACCACCAAAACGTGGATATCTTGAACTTTGTTTATGGACTGATGTCTTTGCCAGCTTTGAGACATATCCACCCCTTCCTATGGACACCAGAAAAGTTACGCAATGCTCTTTAAAGTAATGATTTCGAAAACATTAAATGCGGAATGATGATCACACACAACAATGTATCCAATCCATTATTGATATATAACTCAGGGGTCTCCAAGCTTTTTCGATTGGAGAGATACTTTTTCAAAACAGATCTACTCCTTGTCCATCATCCAAGCCTAACTAATAGTAAAGTTAAAAATAACGATAATAAACAAACGATGCATATGAAATGAATAGGTTGCATTCATGGTCTAAAATATATTTCATTAGGAGAGTAGTGAAAGAAGCAATTTAAGAAAGAAACTCCAATTGTTTCCTCAGACCCTTATTTCATAGTGATTAGATTCGACAACCTGCCCTAATATTCTCTTATCTGAAAGTCTAAATGCCCTCATGAGAAAATAAGTAGACCAGAGTTGATAAACTATGATTATGTTGATAAACCGACAAAGATGTGACATTTTGGAGCAGTTTTTGTTTCATGTAGATTGGCCCATACAGGAATTACAGAGAAATTGTAATCCTCTATAATGGCACTCTTCCCATGTTTGGGACATGTACATTTCTCCATAGTGAGATCAATAAAGTTTCTCTTATCTTAGCTTATCTAGTTTTACCATAATAATGATAATGATAATAATAATAATGGTAGTAGTAGTAGTAGTAGTAGTAGTAGTAGTAGTAGTAGTAGTAGTAGTAGTAGTAGTAGTAGTAGTAGTAGTAGTAGTAGTAGTAGTAGTAGTAGTATATTTGATATGAATAATATGTTATATAAATATTAATAAATAAATAAATACATAAAATACAATAAGATACAAAAGAGACAACGAACACTGGAATGAATGAATTAAATAACAAATGGAAATAGTCCAATAGAATAGACGACCACGATTTAAAAGAATGAATGAATGAAATCAACTCTCATTTCTGCTGTGCTTTTATTGTGAAAGCGTCCACTTCCGGGCCCTCGCGCCGCGTGTTGACAGCGGCAGCAGCAGCAGCGCCACTCTCCGCTCCTCTCTCTTCTCTCTCTGGATATTTGGGATTTTTTTCTTTACTCGGAGCCTTACGGGAGCCACACACCCGGGACAGGGAGGCTGCTTTCACCTACCCCCGGGCGAGGTATGGCGGACCGGGAGGCGGCTGCTTTCCCCGCGGAGGTCCGGGCCCGACTGGCGGAGCTGGAGCTGGAGTTATCCGAAGGTGAGTGCGCTCTGGGCGGCTGAAGTTGTGGCAGAGATGTGGTTGTGCTTCGGGGTTGGATGCGCTGACAGCTGCAGGACACACACAGCCGTGATGTTGTGACTACTCTGCAGAAGAGTGGCATACTGACATTGTTAATCATATTATTTTGTGTGTGTGTGTTTATTATAGTAGCCTGAAATATATACAAAAACAATCTTCTTTCTCTGGTTTAAGTTCAGCCCTTGTCACTGGAGCTGGGACTTTGCAGAGGAATAAAGACAAATATTTACAGCCATGTTTTATCAAAAATATATACGGCTTAAAGATGCATTGTGTAACTTTTTTCTGATGGTACCACTATCAGCCTGTTACCATGGAGATAGTACTGCTTTGCTTGGAACGATTGTCAATATTATATAAAACTTGTATAGACAATTTTACTGCTTGAGAAAATCTGAATTCCTCCCTCCTTCTGCATATATGTGACTTTTAACTTGGCTTGTCTGTAGATAATGTAGATTCAATTCAACAATACTCAAGCAAAAAGCAGATTCTCCACAAGGAAAGTTGTGTAGTGAACCTTGTTATTTGTAGTGTGTGTGTTTGCGTGGTTCTCCAGAAAGTGTATTGAGAAAGACTGTTGCATTGGATTGAACAAATTATATAACATTTGCTACCCTTTGAAGTCAGTATTTGGGGCTTTTAGGGTGAGATCTGATTGGCTGGGCATGCGTGTTCTCCTCTTTTTCAGTTTTCTAACCCAAAAAAGCTTACAAGGAGATGTGACAGAGCCCAAATAATACATGTATGTGTCTAACTAGTGTTGTTTTGAGAGGAAGGAACCAGTTAAATGGAGTTATTAGTCACATTTTTGTCATTTAAGTTCTGTTTTTTTGGTGAGGTAAGCGGGAGAATATTGCTATTATGAATTGCGTTTTTTGTGTGGATTGCATTACGGCTTTAAAATACCAATCCTCTTTCTCTGGTTTAAGTTCTGAACCAGAATCGAGCCTGGGGAAAAACTTGGGATCAGTTTTTGAATTGTTTGCATTGTCCTGTTGTGTTGTTGTAGGACCCAGAAGAGCCTCCTATCTCCTGGCAGTGTTTCTCAATATGTGGTGCATGAAGCCCTCTGCCATGATGCGATATTATGCCATACTATTCTTTTGTAACGTATTTTCTCTTACCTTGCACTATTTCATCCACCTAATGGTTGATTTATAGCCAATGCTGTTTTCCCTCACTCTTGGTGGAACTTGGGAAGACAAATCTTGGTGGTGCTAGTTAACGTTAAAGTTAAATTTCAAGAACTACTGCTTTATTGGATTGATTTGCAACTGTATGCCTATTATTACCAAAAAACTCATTACTAAATCATCAATACAAAGTTGTATAGAGGCTGGCTTTTGACCAAAATTATATCTAAGTAATTACATTTGTGATTTGATGAGACATTTTGAGATTGATTTTGATAGATTTTACAGCTGTAGAATTGACTACAGACTGGCTACACTTCCCTTTAACCTCTGCTTGACTATAGCTCGACTTGGAACAAATCCAAACACAACCGCATCGGACCACACCCTATGACACAAAAGAGCAGGTGCACCGTTTTTATTTTACTCTGTTTTCAGACTCTAGATTGACGGGCTCTACTAATATTCTTTTATTATTATTACACATATGAAGTAGTAGTAGTATTTTCTGAGCAAAGAGCAAGAAACGAACCAGAAAACCAGTTGCGGATGTCTAAGTTTCTGTTGTTGAGCTTGGTCGAAAACCCTCAAATACTGAATATAAAGCCCAATTACACACTACAGTTACTAAAATGTACTAGATAATTTGGAAATAAACTTGCTTTCTTTCAGTAGGGCATTACTTTCACCAGCAAGAGTAACATCATGTGGTGAAATGAGCGCTGCTTGTTGGGAGGCAGCGATGCAAACTGGGGGGTGCCAACAGAACCACCAAGGACGGGCCGATCCAAATAAGAAAGAAAACATATTTTGTACAGAGGTGATGAGAGAAGGCAACATGTGTAAGCCACTTCAAGCTGTTTTTTGCATACTTAGAAAGAGCCCTATGAGTCACTGTTAGACGTTTTGTGCTGAGAGATGATTGGCTGAGCAAGAGTGGTTCTCTTTTTCATGTTTCTGAATCAAATAGTTGAGACAGAGGCCAACAAATACATGTGGCTGAAAACTAGTGACATGTTTGGAACTAAGTTTAGGAAAAAGATGGATTTTATGGTTGGAGTTAAGGTTGGGGTTTTAGATTAGGGTTAAATGGATAGATGAATTGAGGGATTTTATTATACAAGTATTTTTTGTGTTTATTTTTTTTATGTAAGACCTGTCCATGTGCTGCTGATTGAAGCTGTTAAATCAATTGTTAAGTGTGCTATTTCAAAACCTTACTCAGAGATAGCAAAGACGATTGATTTTCACATTAGCTGTCCACTCTCAACTTGGCCTATAAAGCTGGAATGTGATTACTACTCTATATGTGTACTCAAATGTTCTACAACGTCTCGGCTTGTAGACGTTAGACCTTAGACGGTAGACCTAAAAGCAGCAAAACACGAAATGGATTGGAGTTTACATCGGTTTTGTCCGGTTTGGTGACTTTTTACATAAAAGTCACAAAACAAACCATTACATAATACAAATATTATGTTTCTTATAATACACTGCAAAAAGTGATGAAGAATTAGTCAAAAATTGGCAAAAATTTAGCTTCATTAGAGCAAATTTTGACTGCATTAAAACAAGAATTGCCAATGGGACAAAGCAAAATGATCTTGTTTTGAATGAAAAGAAAAAGCCACAGTTCTTGACATAAGACTAAATGGCTTTGTCCCATTGGCAAATCTTGTTTGACGGTCAGAATGTACTCAAATTACGATAAAAACCACTCGATTCAAGCAGTTATTACCTCATATTTAATCAATTTTTGCAGTGTAAAGTTGTAGAGTTATACTGTTGCTAATTCTCCTAGTACTTCAAAACAGCTGCTACAATACTGCCAATAACGACAGCACATAACTAGAATAACTCGCCCTCCCTGTTGTGTATGCTACTATGTTTAGTATACTGCAAAATGTGATGAGAAATGAGAAAGGAAAGCATGATTGAAAATATGAATACTGCTACTACTACTACTACGTCTCCTACGTCTCCAGCCCTCGGCTTCTCAGATCACTCCATGATACATCTGGTTCCTGCTTACAGACAGAGACTAAAGCTCTCGAAACCTGCAGTGAGGAGCTCCAAAGTGTGGTCTGATGAAGCTGTGGAAGAGCTGCGCGCATGCATGGAATCTACAGACTGGGACCTTTTCAAAGCTGCCACAGACAGCTTGGATGAATATACGGACACTGTGACGTCATACATCCACTTCTGTGAGGATAGCATCATTCCAACAAGGACCAGGGTCATCTATAACAACGACAAACCCTGGTTCACTGCTAAACTCCGGCAGCTCAGGAAAGCAAAGGAGTCTGCTTTCAGGGAGGGGGACCGCAGCGGCTACAAAGCAGCTAAATATCAGTTCAGGAAAGAACTGAAAGCAGCCAAGTCCCGGCACAGAGAACGACTACAGGAGCAGTTTGGTAACAACGATACTGCTTCTGTCTGGAGGGGCCTACGGGAGATCACCAACTACAAACCCAAAGCCCCCCCCTGTGCTGATGACCACAAGCTAGCTGACGATCTGAACTTATTTTTCAGTCGCTTTGATGCTGCCCCTGACACCTCTCCCTCCCCCACCCCCCACTACTCTAACGACCCACCCATCAGCCCTGCCCCCAGCCTAACAATAGCCGCTAAAGAGATTAAACAACTCTTCCTGAGGCTGCACCCCCGCAAAGCTCCTGGCCCGGACCACGTGTCTCCGGCCACTCTGAGACACTGCGCCAGTGAGCTTACTCCTGTGTTCACGGACATTTTCAACTCCTCTCTGCAGTCCTGCCATGTCCCGGCCTGCTTCAAATCCTCCATCATTGTCCCCGTCCCGAAGAAGCCCAGGATCACAGGACTCAATGACTACAGACCTGTAGCACTTACGTCTGTCGTCATGAAGTCATTTGAACGCCTGGTTCTCTCCCATCTCAAGTCCCTCACCTCCCCCCTCCTGGACCCCCTGCAGTTCGCCTACAGAGCCAACAGATCTGTAGACGACGCCATTAACCTGGCCCTCCACCACATCCTACAGCACCTGGACTCCCCGGGGACCTACGCCAGGGTCCTGTTCGTGGACTTCAGCTCTGCCTTCAACACAATCCTGCCATCCCTGCTCCAGGACAAGCTCTCCCAGCTCAACGTGCCCGATTCCACCTGCAGGTGGATCACTGACTTCCTGACGGACAGGAAGCAGCGAGTGCGTCTGGGGAAGAATGTCTCGGACTCTCGGATTATAAATACAGGAGCCCCACAGGGCTGTGTTCTTTCTCCCCTGCTCTTCTCCCTGTACACCAACCACTGCACCTCCAGCCACGACTCCGTGAAGCTGATCAAGTTCGCGGACGACACCACCCTCATTGGACTCATCTCCAACAACGATGAGTCCGCCTACAGGAGGGAGGTGGACCGGCTGGTGTCCTGGTGCAGTGGTAACAACCTGGAGCTGAACGCCCAGAAGACAGTGGAGATGATTGTGGACTTCAGGAAGAGCACTGTCCCCCCGCCCCCACCCGCCGTGATGGACTCCCCCATCACCTCTGTGGAGTCCTTCCGTTTCCTGGGCACCACCATCACCCAGGACCTCAAGTGGGAGCCGACCATCAGCTCCCTCATCAAGAAGGCCCAGCAGAGGATGTACTTCCTGCGGCAGCTCAGGAAAGCCAAGCTGCCTGCACTGATGTTGGTGCAGTTCTACACGGCCATCATCGAGTCCATCCTCACCTCCTCCATCACCGTGTGGTTCGCTGGAGCCACAGTCAGGGACAAACAGAGACTACAGCGCATTGTGCGCTCTGCAGAGGAAGTGATCGGCCGCAGCCTTCCATCGCTGCAGGACCTGTACGTCGCCCGAGCTCGAGGCCGGGCTGGTCGTATCACAGCTGACCCCTCTCACCCTGCACATGGACTATTCCAACCACTCCCCTCAGGCAGGAGGCTGCGGTCCATCAGGACTAGAACCTCCCGCCACAAGAACAGTTTCTTCCCCTCTGCTGTTGGACTCTTGAACACTTCTTAACCTGTCCCCCCGCCCTTTATAAAGTCACTTTACTGCCCATCATACGTCACTTTACTTCACTGTACTGCTGTCACCTTACATTGTGTGCACCATGTGCACTTGTATATTGTAAATAGTAACTGTAACTCTATTTTAAATTTAAATTTATTCTTTAGAAGTGTTTTTTATTCTTATTTTTATTATCTCTTTTTGACTGTTGCACTGAGCCAAAGCAATTTCCAAGTCTGTGACCTCCCGTTACTTACGTTGGCAATAAAAATGATTCTGATTCTGATTCTGATTCTGATTTAACGATATCAGTGCTCATTCCACCTCTCTCTGTTATTGCCACTGTCCATCCGATGTTATGGAAATGGTTGGATGTGATTTGCAGGGAGCACTTCAGTGTTGATCCCACACTCGGTTTCGGGTTTCAGGTTCGGGACGCGGAGTTTCCCAGCCTTCCCCAGCCTTCCCCAGACTGCACTGCACCTCTCCGCCTTGTATGGAGAAAGAGCAAGGCCGCGATACTATACCAGCTGACTATAAAACACACACGCCACTACTCTTCTGGAGTCACGACGGGCACTGGGCCTGCACGTTTTGGAAAAGTATCAAAGTTGGTGCCTGTAGTGAATTGGGTCAAGTGGACTCGGTTCACTTTAGTAGTAAACGCAATAGGACCTTGAAATGATAAGCAGTGAAGCAAATGAAGCAGACATTAGTTTTATGCATTATTCATTCTCTCCATACTCTGTGTCGGAGAGTCTGCTGATGTAGCCACAGCTGCCCTGCTGGTGATTAACCGACAGTTTGGCACTTTACATGCTAGTAAGTAATATGTATTTATATAACGCATTTTTACAGACCAAGGTCACCCAAAGCGCTTTACAGTGTTCAGATATTGTTCCATTCTCTCACACGCCAAACACACTGGCGCTCCAAAGCCCCAACCCACACCACCCATTCACTCACTCATTAAAGTCATACTTATTTTATATGTTTTGAGTGGTAGGGGAAACCGGAGCACCTTGAGGAAATCTATGCAGACATGGGGAGAACATGCAAACTCCACCAGAAAGGCCCTGTTCCAGCTGGGATTTGAACCCAGAGAGGCGAGAGTGCTATCCACTCAGCCACTGTGCCGCCCACATTCTAGTCTCTCTTGTCCAAGGATCTCCAACCTGTGGCTCGGGATCTACCTGTAGCTCGCCAAAGATTTAGAATTTAGCAAATGATCTTTGATTCATACTTTTTGAGCCATTACATATGTACTGTAGGTATTGGGTTATACAGCATTATGGTATATGTATGTGTTCTCCATGTTTTGTTGTAATAACTAGATAGATTTTTAATACGACTGCAAAAAGGAGAAGCTCTCTGTCTCTTTGTTTGTATAAAAGTAGCTCTTCGAAAAAGGTTGGAGACACCTGCTCTAGTCTCTAGTCCCAGTCTTCCCATAGGTTTCTCACTAACCAGGCCTTGCCCCGCTTAGCTTTCGAGGTCTGCTAGGATCAGGCTTTCACTAGGACCACCTTACTTAACTCCAAGTGAGTTTTGTTAAATTGGAAATGTGAACGCATCGTAAACATACAGTATTCCATGTCGATTCCAATGGCTCTATAAAGAAGGAGCCCTAATGTGTTCTCTTGTGATTTAGAACTATACAAAAATGAATGCAATTGAATAGATACTGGTCGAGGGATTATTGCCACTAAAAAGAGGGCGTGGCGTGATGATAGCCCTCACACTCAAAACAGCAGTGGAGTTAATGAAAAACTATTGTCCACGGCAAAAAGTACTGGCACTTGAATTATGAACGTTTATCTAACTCTTAATTCTGGCTAACTTTAAAACCCCAAACAAAATGGAACTTTGTTATGAAATCTATCTAAGGAGTGTATTTTTATATGGACAAATTTATGAATATCAAACGGATTGAATGCGCTGGAAAGCTTTTGTATATTCATACCATATTGCGTCGTCCACTCTGAGAACTATGAACATTTTTGAGATTTTCCTCCAGTTGAGCGACCTATACCAAGTAGCTGCGTACCTCTGCCACTCGACCTGCATGCTGCTGTTGTGCTCCTTGGCTAATCACGTCACCATAACACACTTCAAAGCCGTATCTCAACTGCAAAGTAGGCGGATAAATGATAAACAGTCGTATATTCCCTGGTGTCGGGTGCTGCTGGCTGTGTAATGTGGGCACATGGTTTCATATTGCACTGTAGAGAGATGTAAGCACGAAATAACAAAACAAAATGTACAGTACTATTGCTAAGTGGGAATTTCTGGTGTTTTCTTTGGGTACAGGACAGTAGGAATGAGCAGCACACAGCAGAAGATTAATGAACAATAACACTAGACGGAAATAAGATAAAATCCTAACTTTAGCATGTCAGAGATGTAAGTATAAAGTACTATATATTTTAGAGCAGGAATTTAAAGTTGTGTGTGTACTTCTGTTAGCAACATGAGGGTGTGGGACAAAGTGACAGTAAAAGTGACAGTGGACACATGTGGTCCTATAATCTCACATTATTTAATTAAATTAGTATTGCACACATAAGCCACCATTTACAAATACAATGTGTATGACTTGTATGAAGTTTTCTGAATAAAGAATTGAATTGAAATATTGTACAGATAAGTAAAGCAAAGTGTACACACATGGTTTCATATTGCACATTCTGACAGATAAAAGAATTTCTAAAGACGGTAAAGAAGACTTATTACGTGCTGGTCGGCTACATAGGCTATACTTGTAATCTGTGCCCTGGAGCTGTGTCCTTACCCAACCTGGTTTTATATTTAAGTCCCGACTCCCCCACCCTCCATCTTTGCCTCACCCTGAACGACCCGCCCTCACCCGCCTGCTGCTACTTTCTCTTATGAGTTTTCTCACTTTGGACATTTCACTTGGGGCTGCAATTTTCGTATACATTTTCTTTGCAATATGATAAAAATATTTGCTAATTTCAATTCAGTTCAATTTCTTTTTGTATCGCCCCAAATCAAAATAGTAGTTATCTCGGAGGACTTTACAAAACTGTTGAATTTGCCAAGACAGATCAGAGAATCAAACAATGATAAAAAACACATGGTCCTTAAGGGGCAGATGACCAACTTCCATAAATGTCGTTGACTGTCTAGTATCCTGGATCATCCCCACTGTCCTTAGACCTTCCTGCATCATCTCTGTGTAAAACAATGGAATTATCGGTGTAAAGGGTTCAAAAAGTACCTTTTATATATCTCAATAATACTTAATTATGTGTATTTTCTTCACACATGTTTGCAATGAAATGGACCAAAGTGCTTTAGTGGGATGTTTCTATATGATCGATAATCTCAATAAATACCATCTATAAAAATGTGTTTTTGTGTGTTATTGTGATACTGAAATGGCCTACTCCAGCTTTCGCCAACCCACAAACTGTTTAGCACTGGATTTTAATCTTGCGAGATCTTGTCCCATTCCTATTCGTTCATTTTGAGTCGTCATGCCACTCATAAATCCCGACTTCTGACCTGTTTTTGCGTCTGTCTCACGTTTCATTTTCTATGCGTCTTATTCTTCTGGCGGCGACTGTAAAATGGGGTCACATGCCCGGCTGCATTATTTACATGAGACGTATATAAGCCCCCCATACCCCCCACAGATAGACACACACACACACACACACACACACACACACACACACACACACACACACACACACACACACACACACACACACACACACACACACACACACCTGGTGGGTCCCTTTGACAAGGGCCGTTCAGAATGGGACCCATAGACATAATCTTTTTTTACCAAGACTTTAAGTAATACAAAACAGTCAATAGAAACCAAACAACTATTTTAAAGGAATTTTATTTTAGATTTTGTTTTCGAATTGCAGTGATTCTATTTTTGACATAGAATTTAATGCCACTCCATGTCCGATGTCTAAGGTCATCTGGTGAGGCATTAATGCAGGCCAGGCAGTGAGACTTGCCAGGGACCTTTCCAGTCTGTATGAAAGGTGTCATGGTCTTCTCCACAGCCTTCACCTCAGATGCAGACCATGGCTTTCTTACACGTTCTAGGGAGAGAAATAAAAATATATTAGCAATATACACTCCCAGGGTGAGGACCAAGCAGCCTGGCTGTAATCCCCCACCTGGTACACTTACCAGAAGGGGCACTGCCACTACCATGGGGTGCATCTGGATGAATGGTTGAAGGTTCTCCGCTTGAAGTTTCTTTTAGCCCGTCCGTTTGTGAGAGGATCTCTACTGCTCTCCCTGTCGCACAGAAAATAAAAATACAAGTGGCCTTTAGGGGAAAAAAATCATACATATTTTAATAATATCAAGAATTACCTTCAGGCTCAATTTGTATCTGGTCGAGGCTCTTTCCTTCGAATTCCGTCACTCTTCCCTGCTCCATGGCCATCAACACTTTGCTGATTTTGGCCAGCTCCAGTGTCCCCTCTGGTAGTCTGTAATATTGCCTGTGGATGCGAATGTCATGGCCGAGGAAGTTGGCAAGTATGTCCATCTCATTCTCTTTCATATTGAGAACTGTAGACATAGTAGCTATGTGCTTTCTAAGTTTGGTTGAGGATAGCATCTCTGGATGCACCGCACCACATTCTTTGGCTACCTGGCGTAGGGAGTCTGATCCCCTGATGTGGGTGTCTGCGCCCGGGCGGGAAAAGAAGTATGGGTTATGGTCAGAGATGGAACAGGCCCTTCTGTTCTCCACCAGCACCTCCATCGAAGCAATCATTTCAGGAGTCAAAAGAACCGGCACTTTCCGACTTCTTTTCCCTTTAATTTCAATGCGTTGAAAATGCTGACACAGCTTTTTCTCAAGTTGGGACAGTCCCAGAGCAATGTCAGAATGGATCCCAGTCTTACTTCTTAAGGTAAAGGCTGTCAGTGGCATCTTTGAAACCTCACCTTCCCTTCTTCGATTGAAAATGATGACCTCACAAAGAGTCAAAACTGCCAGTTTAGACCAATGCTTAGACGTTGGCTCACTTATTAGGGTTTGCACATATTCAGGTCGACATACCTCAATATGTGCATGCATGGCTCTAACGTCCTCAGTCAGAGGGAGCAGGTCCGGAGTGTTCCACTTGGCTTGCCGGAGGGTCTGTAGGGCAGCAGAAGAAACACAGACGTCCCACCTCTTCTCAAAAAGCAGCCGGCTTCGTTGGAGGTTTTTAATAAATAGTTCATCAACACAATGCTCCATTTTTGAGTCACATTCAAGAATATCTGCTAGCTTTCTGAGGCTATGGCCGAGTTTGAGGGCCAAGGATGGAGTCTTGTATTGATTTGTTTCCTCATCATATCCAGCCACAGACCTGACTGCATCAATCACATGGTTAAAGTTGGAAGGAATAAAGAAATCCTTAATTGTTTTCAGTTTCCCTGCGGTTTTTGCTTCGTTAATTAACCTACCGACTTCTCTCATTTTCTGCCTAATGTAATCATGCTTAGTCTTATCATGCCCGTGTTTTAAGTACAGGTGCTCTCCG